GGGCTTCTGAGTTGGACCACTTACTAGGTTCCAGGAACCAGAATGCCTGACCACCATAACTCGGACACCAATCTGCTTGGTGCTCCCTAGCCTTGCTCAGTGGAATGGCAAGTGAGACGCTTGTGAGTCCTTGACAGATTCTGAGTCTGAGGATGGTTCACACTTGGGCCTGGGCCTGGAGCTGTTGGGGAGAGACGGTGGCAGGCAGGCACATGAGTCCTGCCCCATAGCTGCCCATCTTTCTTCAGAACAGTTCTGCATAACTGCAGCTACAAGGCTGACATTCTCCACGGCTGGCTCCCTCCAGACCCGGGGCTTTGGGAGTGATGCGTGAAGGAAACAGGGTGAGAGGATGTCCTTCCCCTGGTCCTGCCAGGGGCTGCAGGGCAAGGGGAACCCAGGAAAGGACTGCTCTAACCCCAAGAGCCAGAACCACTGCAAGGTGTGGCAGTCACGGCAGGGGATACCTGCCCAGTGGGGGACACACACCCAGCTGCACAGGTCATGTGGCCACTTGCAAGAAGCTGGCTACCCTCAGGCCAAAATGTGCAGATACCACCTGGACAGGCAGGTGAAAGGAAAGAGGGGTGTCTAGGGGAACCCCATACTTTCAGCCCCAGAAACCAGTCCACATGAGCCCCTGGGAAGGCCATTACAAATTTCCACAAATGTAGTGGCTAAAACAACAGAAATTTGTTCTCTCCTAGGATTGGAGGCTGGAAGTTCGAAATGAATGTGTGGGTAGAGTGTGCTCCCTCTAGAGGCCCTGGGGCAGACCCTTCCTGCTTCTCCTGGTTCTTGGCGCCCCAGGCGTCCGCTGGCTTACGGCTGCATCGCCCCAACCTCTGTCTCTGTGGTCAGGCGGCCACCTTCTGGCGTCTGTGTCTCAAATCACCTTTAACAACACTTGTCATTGAATCCAGGGCCCTAATCCAGAGTCATCTCACCTCAAGATTCTCGATTAATTACAACTGCAAAGACACCATTTCCAGACAAGATCCCATTCTGAGATTCTGGACAGATGTGACTTTGGGGGGATACCATTCTACCCCCTGAAAATCCCATGGGGTAAACCCAGGTAGTACCGCTATTTGGCTGCACCACATGCAATCCTGGTGCCAGTGCATGTCACCAAGACGCTCCTAGGTCCTAACCCCCAAGGAAATTGCCTATATAAGGACTGTTATTTTAAGCCACTAGGGCTTGTGGAACTTGTCACCAGTCCACAGATAGGGCAGGGACCAACAAACTTTTCCCTTTCCCAGGGTTTTTGAAACCCTGAATTCATCAGATGCCTCCCAAGACAGGTTGGGTCCCTCCCTCCTGCTGTCCTCTGGGGGTTGAAAGGGGGAGAAGGGCCCCCCCAGAGAGAGGAACAGACACAAGCCCTCTCAAACCTGGGGGTGAGTCCCAAGAGAACAGCTTGGTCCAGGTGGCGACGAAGGCTGCAGGCCCCCTCACAATCTGTGATACAATCTGTGCCCAGACCCATGAGGGCCTGCCCCTCCTCCCTCCCTCCCCTACCCATCAACTTGCTGAGTGCCATGGCTCCACACTCTGGTCAGCCTGGTCCTGATGATCTCCTCCTGCTGGCTTCCTGGCCTCCTGCCACACTGCAGGGACCACCACGGAAAGTGCCTGAGTCACTGGGGTCTTCCTGTCCCTCAAATTCCATGTCAGATATCTCTGCTGGTCCCCTGCCCGGCAGCTTGCCACATGCCATCCCCAAGTGGGGCCTCTCTCCCTCCCCTACTGACCTCATCTAGAAGTTAGAGCAGGGAGGTTATGTGGGCACCAGGGACCCCCTAGCAGACTAGGGAAGTCCATGAGCTCCTTCTCAGAATACGGTTTTATTACTACCTAACATAAATGATGCACCATCAGAAACAGATCCAGTTATCAAAAGTTTTCAGATTTTCGTGGCATGTGACTTCAGGGGCAACAGGTTTCTATTACCTCTATGAGGATGATGGTTTCCAAAATGTACTGAGTGCAGTTATCATTTTCCAGACTGCATACATCCAGGGTGTCCTTCTGACTGCGTTCAGCTCCATAATGCTGGAAGACATGGAAATGAAGCATTGTGCAGAAGAGGGCACGGAATGCAGCACTGTCATTTCTGTCAGCCTCAGTTGCCAGCTCCAGAGATGAAAAAGCTAGCTGCAGGCTGACAACCTCTGTAATTTCAGTTAAGCAGGGAACAGAAACAAGATTTCACGGTTCCTGCAACAGCCATGACAAGACGTATAATTGTCTTGAGGTTTCTATTGCTGACAACATCATAGGTCCAGTGCATACCGCTATTTGGGAACGTCACCTATATTCAAAATGGGAGGGGATGGCAAATATCAGTCAGAGGATCCTAAAAACAAAGACATGCTCTTTGGCATCCCAGTGCGAAGCTCACTGAGAAGCACTCCCTGGACTCCCCTTACCTATTGTCTGCCCAGGCATGAAGTGAGACCAAGAACCAAGTAAGAAACATCTTTCCCAGTGAAGCTGGCCTACTAGAGAGCACTGCCAGGTACAGGAGAGCTGAGATGAATGTTCAAGAACTGCACATTCCCAGATAGTGCCCAGGAAAAGGGAGAAAAGCTCTGGGTAGGGAATGGTCCTGGGCTGTTCCTGTGAGCTGGGCCAGAGAGAGGATGCAAGGAAGGGAGGAGCCTGCATGATACGGGGACACTGAAGCAGGAGTGGGTATGCTCAAAGAGTCTCAAGGTGAGAGAGGCCCCAGAGTCAGCCCACTCACAGGCATGGAACTGGGCCATGGTCCTCCCACTGACCCTTGACCGCCGTGTGGCTCTCGGTGGGCACACCCCCATGCCAAACACAGGCTTCCGACATAACCTAGCTGCCCCCAGACTCCAACCCAGGCCGAGGACAAGGGGCAGAATGGCCTGGGGATGGGGCAAGAAAATGGGCATGGGCATGGAGGGCATGCCGGTGCCGTCCCAGGACCCACCAGAACAGCTGTAATAACCCCTGAAGCCTGCACCAGGAGGGGCATGCAGGAGAGAGGGCTTTGAGGGTGGGTCCGAGAGAAGAGGGGCTCCGAGCTGAGCAGAGGGAAGGGCTGGGCCCTCTTCACATCCCACCTGTATCTGGGACAGAAACCTGTCTCAGGGTCCCCTCTGGGCTCAGGGTTCTTTAAAGGCCAGCTCACCAGGGGAGGGCAAGCAGGCAGAGACACTCCAATCTGCCCACCATCCCGAGAAGATTTTTAAGAGGATACAGTTCTGCAACTAGGTCCTGGGTGTTGAGTGCCTTAATAAGTACTGAGGTCCCCATCACTGGAGGAACCCAAGATAATGTTGCAGCCTACAGAAGCACTGGAGCTCCAATGTCTTCAGAGGCAGGGTAGGGACAGAGGAAGAGACGCTGGCAACAAACATGCTAGGATCCGAGAGCCAGGGGCTCAATTCAAACTGTGTGACCTTGGGTGGGCTTGCAACCTGACTGCCAGTAGGCTGGCACAAATGTTGCCCACCTCACAGATGCCACACATAGAAGCTGCATGAAGTACTTACCAGGCTGGGGGTCTTAGAGGGTGTACTCATATTCCCTCTCCCTCCTGCCTCGGCCCCTTTGCTCTTCCTGGGATTTCTGTTCCTCTAACCACCCTTCCCAGGGTTTAGCATCCCTGTGTCTGATCTTGTCTCTGGACTCAGGGACCTCCCCCCCACCCCCCCCACCCCCCCACCCCCCGCCAGAGGGGAGGAACTTAGCCCCAGACTTCTGCTCTGGTAAAGCTGAAGGTGAGGATCTGGGCTGGGGGCTTTGAACCTGACAATGGATGTGGCCATGGACGCTGGCAGGCACTCTAGCCGGCTCACTCTGCCCTCTCCTGGCCAAAGCTGGGCAGGTACACAGCTTTTCCATCCCTGGAAAGGGGACAGGGAGGTCCTGGTGGGCATTAGGGCCTCATTTTCCCTAGGCAATTGCCTAGTACCTCCTGGCTCTCTAATGTCTCCTGCTTGGGGCAGGGATCCTTCCCCTGACGTGCCCACCCTGGGCCCCCATACCTGTCTGGTCTGAAGACACCCTCTTTTCCCAAGGTGGGGGCCAGACCAGGAGAAAAGAATCAGGAAGCAGGTAAATTCAGTAACCTGGGGTTTACATAGGAATCCACCTTATTTTTTAAAACTGTGTATGTATCTTTGACATGCTCCTTCCTGTCTATTTAAGGATGCTCCTGAGGACACAATCATTTACAGGCATTCAGCTGTGGGTCAGTTCTCTAGGGAAGAGAGCCGGTACCACCAGAAGGTTCTGTGCCCCTCTCTGGAGATACAAAACCCTGAGGGAACGTTGAGTGAGCATTGTGATGTGTTTACAGCAATGGGGGGGGGGTGGCAGAAGTTGAGGTGCAGAGCACACACTAGGTCTTCCATAAATGATGAGGTCTGGGGGAGGCTGGGGCTCAAAACAAGAGTCTGGCTCACAAAATCTAGGGCCCTCAGCCTCTCGGAAGAGGAGGTCATCAGTGTTTGGTGCAGGAGGGCTGCCTGGGGGGAGTGGGCAGCCCCAGGGAGGGCTGGTAATGTCCTAGCCACCCCAGCACAGTACGGAGGCCCCAAGAGGAGTGGGTAGGTGGGGGGGCAGGAGAGAGGTGACAAGAGGCTGCCGGCATGCTCCACAACACATGTCTTTCGTCTGCCAGGCAGGCCCCTGGACCAAGGCCCAGGTTTGTGCTCTCCACAACATGCAAGATACCCAGTGAAGGCTGCCCCAGCAATCCCACCTATGCCTCTTGATTGGGGGACCCATCAGAGCAGCTGGAGGATAGTACAGGAGAGAGTTCAAGTAGCGCAAGAGTGGAGCGATGGTACGGGGGGCGGGGGGTTGGGTCGGCAGGCCACTGTGAGTTCCCAAGTAGGGGGCCACAGTAAGGCCCGAGCCTGGATGTGGAGAGGAACGACAATAGGCCCCCTCTCCCTCCTGATCAGCTTCGGGAGGCTTCCCAGAGGAGGGGCTCTCCTGTGTCACCTGGATCCCGCTTAGGTGGCACCCCAGGGCAGCACTGTTCCCTGCCCAGCTCCACCCGTGCTACTAGATGCCTTCTCCATTTGAGCTTGACTCTTGCTTCTCCAGGTCGCTCCACGACCGCGCACAGGACAGCGTGGGTCCCTGCGGTCACCGGGGCTGAGGCTGGAGACGGGAGCTGGCATCCAGAACGGCCGCCCCGGGACCACAGAGCCCGCCTGGGACTCAGTCTCTGCATCTGCCAAATGGGCTTGAGAACTCACCCCCCCGGGGCAGATTACCGACAGGCGCGCGCAGGCGCAGCCGGACTCCGCCTGGGCTGGGCGCGCTGGGGAAGCGGGGGGCGCGCGCAAGCGCAGCGGTGAGCGAGGCGTCCTCCCTGGGCCCCGCGCCTACCCAAGGTCCTGTCCCTACCTCCCGCACAGAGTCTGCGCGTGCGCACCGCAAAGGGAGAGTGGGTGGGACCGCGGAGGGGACTGCCCCGTTCCCCAGCGTCCCCCGCGGCAACAGGCACTGACGTGGCCGCCGTCAGAGCCGCCATCTTGTGGGAGCGAAACCAACGCCTGCCTCCGAGCAGCATCTGCGCCGCGGCCTCCGAGGGTGAGGCTGGGCTGGGGCCGAGGCGGGGGCGGGGGCCGAGTTGAGGCCCGGCGCGAGGCTGAGCCGGGGCGGTGAGGGCCGAGACAGGGGCCGAGGTGAGGCCAGGCCGGGCGAGGGGCGAGGTGAGAGCCGACGTGAGGCGGCCGGGCCGGGGGCCGAGGCGAGGAGGAGTCGAGGCGGAGAGCCAAGGCCCGGCGGGCCCAGGGTCGAATAGAGGCCGGGGGTTGAGGCGATACTAGGCCAGGCTGGGGGTTCAGGCTGGGCTGGGGACCGAGGCGGGGCGGGGCAGGGTGGGTGCGGAATGCGGGGCCAGGGGTCTATGCTGGGATGGGGGTCGAGTCGGGGCCCAGCTGGGGCGGGGGCTGAGTCGGGGCCGGGGAGGGGGTCTGTCTGGCCACCCTCTCACCAAGCCCCCCAGAGTGGCCGGGGCGGGCTCCCGGAAGTCCGGCCCGCAACGCGGGCTCTCCAGGAAGCCCCGCTTTTGCTCCGCCTCCGACGCCTCCTGTCTCGGGGTCGCAAAGACCAGGAAACTGAGGCCCGCAGCCCGGGACACGGCCAAGGTCACACGATGGCCAGGGTTTGAGCCCAGTTCCTGTTTATTCTGAGGACAGAGCCGGCGAGGCCGGGCGGAGCCCCGGGTTCCTAGGCGCGTGCTGTTGCGCTTGGGTCTGAGTAGGAGCGCCTATGGCCAAGGAAGCCCTCGATGTACGCGCCTATGGCTTTGTAGGGCCCCTTTATCCAAGATTGCTGCAACCCCGGGATTGCTTCCTGGGTGCCTTTGATATGGATTAGAGTGCACTTCCGAGCTGGTGAATCTTTAACCTACCTATAGAACGCGATCTGGCCGGAGTTGAGGCAGCCTCCCTAGCAGAGCGTCCTAACGCTTTCCAGTCCAAGCAGTTACGGACGGTAAAACAGTAGCTTTGTTAATAAGGCTTGGCAGTTAATTTCAGAGTATTTAAAATATTAGCTAACCAGTTGAGCACTTTTCAGCGCTCAACAGAACACCAAGTTGCTGTTTCTAGCGAAATCTAGCGAAATTGCACAAGAAATCACTGGCAGGAGATGGGCAGTACAAACGCTTTGGGTGGCCCCGGAAGTCACTGTTGAGAACTATGTGGTTGTAGTCGTAACTGATGTAGTTGGTGTTGGAGTGGTCAGTTCTTGTTCTTATTTCAGAACTAGTGGTCAGCGTTTTTTTTTTTTTTTTCCCCCCTGCTGGCTGTTTGCATGGTTGCTCCTGCGTTTTTGGCAGAGTGTCTGAAGGAGTGTGAGATGCCATGGCGTGTGCTGTGTCCTTGGGAGTTTTCAGAAACCATCATGAGTAGCCAAAACTGGAAGAACTTTGGATGCATAGTGTTGCTGAGCCCAAAATTATGAGTAATTGAGTGTATGTGTTTATCACAAATATGGCCACTCTGTTACAGTGTGCTATCTTCCTCCCATAAAGGTTTTCTCTAGTTAATGGGTAGAATATAATGTGTCCCTTCACTGGGAATGTCCTGTTGAAAACAAACCCTTGTCACTTGGTCATTAGAAATCTGTTCCTGTGAAGGCTAATTTCAGATACAAGTGCTTCAGATACAAGTAGTTCAAAATTGCTACTTCAGAAAGATTTAAAATAGTTGGTTTGGATGATAGCTGACTCACATACTGTCTGCTCATCATTGTAAGAAAGTTAGAAAGCAAAAACTGGTTCTGTGCTTCTCACAGTTCTGGTTTTTTAAATTGTGTGGTTTAGCTATTTGCTTTGCCTCTTGCGCAATGTGAAGGGGACGTTCAGACCTGCTAAGCCACCTTTTCCAAAGATCACGACAGGCTTGAAACTACAACAAGGTATGCCTTGAGTTTTCTGTTGTCTTTAGTAAAATTTAGTATGGACCCTCGAGTTGCTTTCCATGGTCAAATGGCCTTAGGAATAAACCTAACAAAGTGGGGAAAACGCTTGTGCAAGTTCATAAATAGTATATTCACTTGGTTTGAGAGAGTTGAATCAATTTTCTTTGAGTTCTTCAAATTGGATGTTGCCTTGATACATGAACTTAAATCTGCTCTTGATCACAGGTCAGGCTCACTGAGCATTTCTGTAGCCCTCCTGAGCACTGTGATCCCTTACCGAGCTGGTGTTCAAACCCATCTAGCCTGTGCTTCCTATACCACTTATGACTGTGTCTGTGCACGGCATTCCATAGTCTCCCCTTTGACCTTCCAACCTTTGTAGGATTAGGAGAATGAAGAAAGTAAAATGCACATCTGTCAGAGGTTGGAAAAGAAACATGAAAAATTCCTTTCAGTTGGGATCTTAAAATTAGGTAAGAACTTGATCTCTTTTGTGATCCGTCTGCTCCTCATTGATGTGGATGGTATTAGAAATGTCCTCCTAGCACCATCTGAAGTGGTCTTTTGGAAATGTTTTTGCCCTAACAGTGGGTTGGGTGTAATGCTTCCTACTGGCAAGTAAAGGAGGGCTTGGGAATGTGTGAGTGTGAGAAAGGGTGGTTGGTTAATTTCAGAGTGTGAGCCAAGGTGAGGGGAGTACTTCATCCTTATCCTTTTGTGATTGTTAAAAATTCTCTAACATATAGCACCTGTTACAGCTATACAGCTGTAACACTGTTCTGGAAGGTACTTCAGCATTCTTAGATGGATCAGATGGCCTGATTAGCTAGAAAAAATGTGGCAGAATTTAACACAAACACATCAAATGCTCCTTATTTGTAGGAGAATCTGTTAGGCCCTCACCCAGTTCTTTCACTTAAGCTTCCTTGTATGAGTGGGAAGAAATAGTGAAGGTATCTGTTGCAGGAACTAACCTCAGTATTCCTAACAAACCCATGTTTCCTGACTTTTGCATATGTTGGAGACTGAGCTGGGCAGCCTTTCATTGGCAAATAGGAAGGGAAGTATAGGACTTCTCACTGACTAAAAGAGACAGAAAACATCCAAGGCAGGCAGATTTTTACACACATAGCACTTGGGAGTGATTCTCTTTAGGAGGCAAACATTTTTACACACCTGAGGCGACAGAGGTGACTGTTAGTATACAGCATAAGTTAACAAGAGTCCCAGTTATGATCCATGCACAGTTTGAGAAGTAAAAAATGTAGAGTATATTTTAGAAACATGTTTTATGAGAATGTTTAATGAGAATTTAGTAAGTTTTTGTCCTCTGAAAGATGCTAGCAAGTTAGTAGAATTTGTCTCCAAAGAACAAGTCATGGGTAAAATAGCCAGCATCTTTCAGCTTGTATTGTACATCAAATTATTTTTGCAGTGCTATATGTGGGTGCTAAACAGAAAGTTGAGTGGTGCTAGGTCTCTTGAGGCCCTGGAAATTTTTTGACATGAAGTTTTAAGTATCCTGTCAGTTTGACATAGGGACAAATGACCAAGAAAACAATTTCAAGATTCTGTCTAAACTCATATGTGCAAAGTAGGAATAAAGGCAAAGTTAGATGTGCCAGCATTTTGAGCACAGGTTTCAGAATAAAGGATATCTTTAAAAATTGCTATGAAGAGTAGATTTTCCTGTGGAGTTTTCTATCATCTGTAAATGAGCATGCAGTTCCTAACTCACTGAATCTTGTCAATTCTGGTGATGTAACTTTGCTTAAAATAATTATAGTTTTTAACATTTCTCTTCTATCAAAGTGATACGAGGTCTTGAAAATTCCTGAGGAGATCAGTGCAGATGTATTCTTAGTCACTAGTTGCAGGTACCTGAGGGCAGGTTTAGGAAGCAGATTGTGTACACACCCCTTTTGTGGCATTGAACATTCCTCAGATGCACACGTTTGCCCTGAGTAGTTAACTGTATCTCGTATTTCCTCCTCACTGGGATGTCAGAGAAATGTTCGGATTCCACCACACTCATATATACTTTTAAACCAGTGTGAAATTCATCATAGGTTTTTTTTTTCCTGACAAACTAATTTTTTAGAAAAACGTGTGATTAACTTTATATTTTTTAATCCTTAAAGCCCTTAAATATTCTTTTATGATTCTTTTCTCCTCTCCTTGTCTGAATCTCTTGGGTGCCCAGGGGGGTGGCCAGTGGAGAAAGACAAGTAGAGATGGGGAGGTGAGTGAGGGAAGGTGGGTGAGGGCTGGGTGGAAGGTGGAGGGCTGTGGCAGTGAGTGGAATGGGAAAGCAGGCCCACGGGACCCGAAGGAGGAGTGGGCACTGAGTGTAGCTAGTCTGGCCTGCCAGGAGGACCGCCACGGGAGCAGAGGTGTAAAGGAGGGGCTCCTGTGGGTCTTTGGAAGAAACGGGGGAAAGCAGCAGCAGAGGCCCTGAGCTGGGAGTGCACTTGGTGGTTGTGGAGCCTTGCTAGGAGCAGAGGAGGGGAGGGTAGCCTGCTGGTGTGTGCCGGTGGTCCTTGAAGGGGAGGCCCCACAGAAAGGGTGTTTTGGAAATGTGTGGGATGATTTGGGGCTCTGTCAAAGATGAGAGGCAATACTGATATTTAGAAGCAAGAATGCATTATGCATGACTTTCATGTAGGTGAAAAGGCTGTTTATATCTTAAACCTAATTCTGTTTATGTACAGAGTCAACTTGTGTGTGTATGGTTTTAATTGAAGGTGCGCAGGCGTCTTCGACTCCTTGTGACCCCATGAACCTCTGTCCATGGGATTTCTCAGGCAAGGATATTGGGTTGGGTTGCCATGCCCTTCTCTAGGGGAATCTTCGCAACCCAGGGATTGAACCTGGGTCTCCTGCATTGTAGGCAGATTCTTTACCATCTGAGCCACCAGGGAAGCCCTTGGTTTTAATAGATGTTCTGAATTCTCCAAGAATAAAACTGCCTTGTAAATTAAGGGTGATTGTATTTGGTTCTTTGCAGAATTGTACCAAGAGTTGGTATCTGTTTCCAGGTAGGGGAAGAAAAAAAAAACTTGGTGGACACACCAGGCCTTGAGTGTCAGTAATGCTGCTGCATTTGTGATGGTCTTCATTAGGTGGTTCTCTGACTGCCTCCCTTGAATTTATGGTCATGACCAGTATTGAAGGTCACATTTTATCATATGACACTGTCTTTCATTTCCTAGTTACATTTTAGTTGGGGCAGCATGGGTTTTTTGCAGTCAAATGAGTATGTTGGTTATATTGTCTCCTAGCTTCCTTCTGAATGGTAGAGGTGATGCTGTGAAATGCATGGGAGTGTTGGCTCTGATCTTTTTAAGGAACCTGAATTTGGTCTGATCTTTCCTAATAGTCCCCTCTTGCTGGCATCTGAAACACGTTGTGGAGTGACAGCTACAGGCTTTGGGAATGCCAGAGGGCGGGAGATATGGTGACCAGGACCATGTACAGGCAGACAGTGATGGGGAAGCACCCTTCAAAAAAAGAGATGGTGGGACTTGCCAGTAAACAGATTGGCGAGGAGAGGGACAGAGTGGGATTGTGGGTATCTCTGAGGTTTGGGTCTGAGGAACTGGGAGGAAGTTGCACAGGATTAAAGTGGGAGAGGTTCCTTTTATATTTGAGGATTAGATTTTGATGGGAGATCCATGCATTGAGGGGGAAATAGGAGATAAGTCTGGAGATGAAAGGAAGGTTCAGCTGGGGTCTCATATAGGGGGTTGCATTCCTCTGGTAGTGAATGGCTGGACAGGGCAGTGCTAGTGAGTGAAAGCACAAGATACTGAGTCTTGCACTGGTGGGACCTCTGGTCACTTGAGAGGGGTGCCACGGACTGCTGGGAGGTTTTAAGCAGAGGATGGCAGGAGCAGGTATATGAATGAAATTTTCCTGAGTCCAGGGCTGCCCCCAGTTTAAAATGTGAGCAGGATAGGAAGAGGCCAACTGAGAGGGTTGCTATGGCTGTTGAGGCCAGGGAGAAGTTCACCCAATCACATCGGCCTCCCAGGCAAGACCAGCAAGGGTGTCCTTGAGGGTTCCAGGCTGGTGCAGCATCTCTGGGTGCTTCTAAGAAGGGCCTCAGGGAGGCGGGTCTGGCAGGGGGCGTCAGAGGTACAGGATCTAACAGACTCGACCATTGCTGCTCTTCCCTGTTTTCTGTCCTCTGGGAAGCACATCGCTCAGAAAAAGAGGTAGGGCTGCGATCTTTTTTACATTTTGCTTTCAAAATGAAAGTTCTCTGCAGGCAAAAATCAAGTTTTGGAGATTAATTTAATCATTTTCAGTTCAGTCGCTCAGTCGTGTTCAACTCTTTGTGACTCTGTTAATCATTTTAGTCATTCACAAAGTTTTCTTGCTCTGAAAAAGCCTGGGGGTGGGGACACCTGCCACTCTGAGAACTTTGAGGAAGAACTGGGCACTTTGACCTGCTAATAGTTGGTTGCACTTCCCTTTTTCTTCAAGGGTGTGGAGAGGGTCTCGGCAACACTGGCTTCCCCAGAGCCCTACCTTCATGCCTGGAGAGGGTCCTATGTCTGCACTGTAGGTGCAGGTGGCCTTTTTGAGAAGACACCAGAACAGAAACCACAGAGGCTTCAGCACATTTGGGTGATTACATAATTAGAGTGACGAAAGCAAATTAATGTGATTTATTTCACAGCAGAATCCTGAATTGCCATATCTTTCTCATTCTCACTTCTAAAACTAAAACACAGGATTGTGCTATTTGACAGATGTGCCTGCTTTTTCTGTGAGGATCATGGGGACTGAGACTTCAGCAGCTGGAGATGTGTGTGCATGCGTGTGTGCCCTCACTGCACATACTAAAGCTTTGGGCCCCAGTGTAACTATGGATCAGTCTTCTGACATTTGACATGAGAGGCCCAAAGACCTCTAAAAACTAGTTTAGCGTTGAGGTGAGGTTGGGAGGGTAAGCGTGTCACCGTCCATTTGGGTTTCAGCATCTGTCGGTTGGTTTCAGTGAGCATTGAGCTTCTGTGTGCCCAGAGCTGTGCTCCTCACACGGCTGCTCCTGAGCGCGAGTGTGGCGGCTGTTCACCCCACCGTGTGCTGAGGGCGCACTGAGAAACATAAGAGGAGAGGACTTTCTCTTGTGAGAGGCAGCATCTGGACTTGCCGTCAGAGGCTGAGTGAAGGGCTCGGCGGGCATGACATGGAGAATCAGTAGGAAGAGGCGGCTGGGAGCACAGCTAAGGTCTGAACAGAGGATTGCTGATGTGCAGAATTAGTAAGGAGTTACTGGTAAGGCACTTCTCAGGGTGTCTAGGTGGTTTAGGGGAAGATCCCCTGGAGGAGGGCATGGCAGCCCACTCCAGTATCCTTACCTGGAGAATCCATAGATGGAGGAGCCTGGCAGGCCACAGTCCATGGGGTCGCGGAGAGTCAGACACGACTGAAGTGACTTAGCACAGCACAGGTGGTTTAGAGTTGCCTGTAGTTTTCATATCCTGCTTTGCATTTTAGTCATAAGTGGCTTTGTTTCCTCCATTTTCTGTTAATTTGTTATACATCTTTTTTAAAATATTTATTTAGCTGTGTGGGGTCATGGGCTCTTTTGTCGTTGTGCACAGGTCTAGTTGCCCTGAGCATGTGATACCTTAATTCCCTGACTAGAGTTCGAACTCATGTCTCCTGCATTGGAAGACCGATTCTTAATGACTGGACCACCAAAGGAAGACCCTGTTGCACATTTTAATGTTGTGAGGTTGATGCAAATTTGTGTTTTGGGTCTTGTGATTTTTTTTCCCTCCCAGTAACACCTTTTCAGACGTAAGTGTGTTTGGAGTTAGGGTGTATGTGCCCTGACTCCTAGAATAGGAGTACTTGTTAGGGTCCGTGGTGCCGGCTGCTCCATAGTGGAGGGCCCAGGTGCCCACCACCGGTCTGCAGGACCTGCAAGCCATCCCATCCCGCGGACAGCGTACTCAGATGGTCCTGCATAGCTGCCGGGCACTAGGAATGTATGTTTACCCTGGAAGGCCTCCATCTGCGACCAGGACAAATGCACAGAGCCGTGAGAGAGCTCCTGATGGGGTATCTGAGCGAAGCCTCTACTTGTAGGTATCATCCACTCCTTGTTTCACCCCAGTTGAAGGCCATGTGACGTTTCTGTTCAGAGGTTCTGTGTGGATGTTGTTTTCATTTGGGCTAGATCATCTGGTTGTTTGGTCTCATCTGTAGATTTCAGATCGATGTAAGTGTCTTTGGTAATGGGTTTTGAGGATAGTTATGTTTTTTTTTTTAAAAAGTAGTAAAATAAAACTTAAAGACTATGAATGAGAAGGAACTGCAAAACCTAAATATGTTCATCAGTTAATGCTTTGACTTTTGCAGTTACTGAAAAGTAGGGTTAATTGCAGTTACGCTGTTAAATATTTGCCTTGTGGTTTAGTGTGTTTGTTCCATTAGACACTGGACAGTGACTGTTGAGTGTTCAAGTTAGTGTAGACCAAGAGCTATATTCATGAAGGAAACTTATTTCTTGTTATTTTAAGAATTTCACCTTGAATCTTAAGCTGGCAGAGAGGGATGTAAATTGAATTTCACTGGTCTAAGAATCAGACCTGACCGGAAATCCCGTCCTTCAGCTTTGGGAGGCAGCTTGCAGGGCAACTGGAGACCAGCTCTCCAGTGTCTTTGTACTAGCGTTTGGGTTTCTGGCACTCATCCTTCTTTAGGGGCGGGAATTGGGGGTAACTGCTGCATAGAGACCAGATCTAGTGTCTAATTGATTGATTCTTGCAAAACATCCTGAAAGTTCAATCGTGAAAAACAAAAATCAGTCTCTCATGGGAACTCACCTTTAGATGCAGATGAGAATTACACTGTTCCAGAATGTTTTTGCATGTTCTTTCATTTATTCTTTTTCTTTGTATTGAAAGTTCAGAGTCAAGGTAGGTGAAATGGGTGAAGGTGGTCAAAAGATACAAACTTGTAGTTACAAGATAGATAAACCCTGGAATGTAAGGTACAGTATGCTGACTGTAATTCGCCATACTGTATTGTATATTTGAAAGTTGTTAAGAGAGGAAATCTTAAAAGTTCTTATCACAAAGAAAAAAGGGTGACTGTATGAGGTGACAAAAGTTAAACTTTGTGTGATCATTTCATAATAAATACACATATCAGATCATTATTTTGTACACCTGAGAATAATACAGTTCAGTCAACTTAATTATATCCTTTGAGTGTCTCAGTCTGAATATTCTTCCTTCTGAACAGGTTGATCCTTAGCTTTGTCACAGTTGTGTTAGGCCTGTAAGGCATATCTGTCTATCATTAGTATTGGCATGTTCAGTTTTCTTACACTAATTTTTATAAAATAGTGACAATGCGTGGTGGTCTACTCAGTTGCAGAAAAATGTTAGTGCTACAGAAGTGGAATGCTGGACTAGTAGAGTAGTGCCTTAAGGCTTTATTTAGTTGATGTGCTGGAACCCCAAGTTGATGCACAGACATCAGTTTGTAGCAGATAGTAATATGTGATCATATCACTTATGAAAGTAGGGGACCTCCCCCTTTAGTATTAAATCCTACATGTCAGAGATGAATTAGGCTTTTGAGTGGCTGATAATCTAAGCACATTCGTTCTGCTAAAAGAATAAATGGAACAGTTAAAATGTTTTATAATGTATGTCAGTTCCTCGGGAAGATCTTCACTTTGTTAATTTTTCTCAAATTAGATATTAAAACTGACATTATGAACTGTTGAGCTGTACATTTTACTATATGTAACTTATGTAACCTAATAAACTTCCAAAAAAAAAAAAGTAAAATGAGAAGAAGCTCTGATGTCACCTAGCTTGTTCATTTGAGTAGGGGAGACCCATATGATCTCTTATTTACAGAGGGACCACAGCAGCTTGTCCCCGGTCTGAAGCACAGAATAGAAAATACATGGTTTTTAAAAAATTTTTTTTTTTTTGTCTTCCTGGGTCACACTTTCATTTCCCAAACCATGCTCTAGGTTAGTAATTTATTCTTAAATGGCAACCCACTCCAGTACTCTTGCCTGGAAAATCCCGTAGGCTACAGTCCATGGGGTCGCGAAGAGTCGGACTGAGCGACTTAACTTTCACTTTTCACTTTCATGCTTTCGGAGAAGGAAATGGCAACCCACTCCAGTGTTCTTAGCAATGGGGAAGCCTGGTGGGCTGCGGTCTATGGGGTCACACAGAGTCGGAAACGACTGAAGCGACTTAGCAGCCGTGATTCTCAGTAGTTTGGGTCATCTTGATATCCATTGTTACAGAGATTCTGTTAAATAAACCAGCTCCTAGCCATTTCAGAAAATTGACAGATTTTCCTTCTGCAGAAATAAGCTGCACAACTCTGTAGGGGAGGGTTTCCCTTGCTCATCCTGAATCCTCTGAGACTTGTTAGGAGATGCAGCGGGCACAGGTAGAGGTTGTGGAGATATATATTTCTCTTTAACAGCTATAAACCAGTTACTCTGGATTCATTTACTGGCATGGAACAGGTGTAAACTCACAGCTACATTTTTTCCCTCCCTCTCCTGGCTTTCCTGGGGTGACATCTTGTTTGGCCTTGGCCTGCATCCCAGTAGATCTTCGCAGACAGGAATGTAGCCAGCCAGTTGTGTCCTGTTCTTCGCTATAATGTTGAACCACCACCCAGTCTTGTTTCTGGTCCTAACCAGGAAAAGGGAAAAAATGTTCTTAAGGGGCTGCATCTGCTCAGTGCTTTCTGTCTCAGGAAAGAGATGATCTTTTGTTAGTCTCTTTATGAGCCAGCACAAAGGTGCAAACTCAGGCAGGTGCAGAGAAGTGCTCTTCTGAGAAAGTGTCTTCGCTGCTCACAAATAGGATCATTACTGTGAACCTGAGAAACAGGTTTGGGGCTGAGTGCAAAGGATCCTGGTGGAGGAGAGGGTGAGATAGGCTTAGGCTGGATGTCCTGAGGTTGGAACCTGTGTAGAGGCCACAGAACAACTCTTGTGGTCCCTGTCGGACCTTTCCACTGCGACACATGCTGTGTTAGATTAGGAGCTGGAGGGTCCCTGGACCAGGTGCAGGGCGGATGTAGCTGGATGGGTTGTACGGTGGGAGAAACCAGGTGCTGTGTGTAGTGTCTCCTGGAGTTCCTGTGCTGTGTGCTCAGTCACTTCAGTCGTGTCTGACTCTTTGCCACTCTATGGAATGTAGCCCACCAGACTCCTCCATCCATGGGATTCTCCAGGCAAGAATATTGGAGTGGGTTGCCATGCCCTCGTCCAGGGCATCTTCCTGACCCAGGGATCAAACCCACATCTTGCAGGCACATTCTTTACCATTGAGCCACCAGGGAAGCCCAGAGTTCCTGCTCATCCCCATCTAGGTTCAGCCACCAAATATATGGCCCACTTTCCCTCTGGGGCTGTGGGAGTTGGGTAAGTTGAAAAACTGTGGAGGGAAGGGACCAGATTGATCATTAGGGCTCAGCCGACCAGGGCCAAGGCAGGCCAGGGAGCGTGAGTGGGCAGACGTGCTGGGCTGGGTGGGGGGCAGAGGAGGCCCTGGCCGGCTGTGGCTGTGGCTGGCTGCATCTTCGGGCTGCTGTGCGGGTGTGGGCGTGCTGCTGGGCCCAGCTTAACCTGGGACGTGCCATCAGTGCCGTGTAGGGGTTGGGAAAGTACAGAAAACGGTTTCACTCCTTAATGCCCAGGTTTTTGTGTCCGTGTGTATGAACTTAATGCTAAAACAAATGTAAACAGCAGTCCTCCAGCCTGCTTCCCAGGGATAGCCCCTTTGTGCCTTACTATTCTGACTAGGGTGCTAATACTGTCTCTCAGTACGTCAGCTTTAGGCCCTTGAGACCACAAGTTCTGTCCTTGGCTTCCCGGTACCCAGGAGTGCCAGTCAGAGTATCATGACTAAATAAATATTGTTCACTGCTGAGTCAAGTGGTGACTGCCTTATTATGTTTTCCCTCAGGAAATCTTAAAATGACTTCTTTTCATTTTCATCTTTGGGTTTTTTCCTGGATGTTTGTCATTATTTTTTCCCATTTCCTTAGAATTGCTGAGCCCCGTGTTTAAACCACACAGGTAACGTGCTCCTCTTCCTGGAGCTCTCCTCCTTCCTGGGCTGGCTGCTGCTCAGGCCTTCCTCTGCGTCCCCTCTGTCACCTTAGGCGGGGATAGAGGTGTTGGCCTTGCCTGTGGCAACCTGGAGACAGGCGTGTGTGAGACTTTGCACTTGTGACCTCCTTGTCCTGCCCTTTCACCAAGTCCATGCTTCGGTTGACACAGAACTACAGATGGAAAGCAGTGTTTGTGTCTTTCTTTGCAGGGAACAGTTTTAGGTTCACCACATAATTGAGGGAAAGGCACAGAGATTTCCAGTACACACACAGTCTTCCTCACTGTGTCCCCCACTAGAGTTTGTTACAATTGATGAACCTACGTTGACACATCATCATTCAGAGCCCACAGTTTATCTTAGGGTTCACTCTTGGTATTGTGCGTTCTCTAGGTTTGGACAAATGTATAATGACATGTATCAACCATTATAGTATCACACAAAATAGTTTCACTGTCCTGAAAATGCCCTATGCTCTTACCTATTCATCCCCCCCTCCTCCTAACCCCTCAAAACCACTGAATGGATCTTTCTACTCTCTCCACAGTTTTCTTTTCCAGAATGTCACGTAGTTGGAATCATACACTGTATAGTATTCTTAGATTGGCTTGTTTCACTTAATGCACATTTATACTGTGATAATAATATACATTTATCTGTGTCTTTCCATGTCTTAATAGCACTTTTCTTTTAGTGTTGAATAACATTCTATTTAGATTTACCAAACAACAGTTTATCCATTCACCTACTGAAAGACATCATGGTTGCTTCCAGATTGTGGCAATAATGAATAAGACTTGTGAACATCAGTGTACAGATGTCTGTGTGATTGCTCGTTTGCAGCCCCTTTGGGAGCATGAGTGCTGAGTTCCATGTTCAGAGTGCTTTGTAAGAAACCTCCAAACTGTTTTCAGAATGGCTGTTCTTACTTTCATGGGATCATGTCTTTGGTGTTGTGTCTAAAAAGTCATCACCATACCCAAGGTAGATGTTGGTCTTTTACATTGCTCCTAGTTTCCCTGTGTTTGAGGTTCATGTGTGTGTGTGTGTGTGTGTGTGTGTGTGTGTATTTTTTTTTTCACTTTGGTTGTGAGCTCTGCCATGTCTGTCCTAATGTCCTGTTCTCATTTGATGGGCACCAGATCCCCACCACGTTGATGCCAGGGCTGTGTGTGGGTTGGAGGTTTTGTCTTTAAATTATCTTCTGTCTTGCTTCTCTCCAGATTCTTTGTTTCAGTCAGTTCCATTGGGGGCTTCTTACAGGGAGATGGGGCGTGGATGTTTGGGGGCCTCCAGGTGTGAGAGTTAAGTCCTGGCCTTGAGGCCTCCATGTCTCATGTGCAGGTCTGTGGGGGCAGTGTGCCTCCCAGCGTGCCATATGCCTCTGTTTCCAGAGCACTGTGCCGTCCTCTGACTGGCTCAGTTGCTCCAAAGAGGTCCCCTGGCTCTCCTGCAGGGCTGAGGATGAGTGCTTGGTCAGGGTCAGACCCCACCAGAATTGTACCCCCTTCTCTCTGTCCTTTTCGTGTGGTAGTGACTTCAGGAATAAGCTGAGATAAATATGCGTTCAGTTCATTCTGTTTTCCATAATTTTTTTTGAGATTTAATGTCAGGTTTGTTGGACATAATAATAATGCACTACAGGTAAGTGATGTGATAAATATCAGAAGAGCAAACATATTGTAATATGTACACTTACTGAGGCAACACGATATACACCTTAAATCTACACACTCCACAGACAGAAATGGTGGTAGAACAACTAGTTATACATTTGCAAAAGAATAAAGTTTGACTCCTGCTGCTAAGTCACATCAGTTGTGTCCGACTCTGTGAGACCCCATAGACAGCAGCCCACCAGGCTCCTGCCCCTGGGATTCTCCAGGCAAGAATACTGGAGTGGGTTGCCATTTCCTTCTCCTGTTTTCCATAATTTATCATCCTCTATGTTTAGGAAAAGTGGTTGTCTGCCAAAAAGGAAATACCGTAGTAAAGATCTTTTTAAATTTTAATTTTATTAATAGGTAATATTATTCAAAACCAAGAACAATTTAAAAATGTTGAAAGTGCCCCGAAGCCTGCTCGAAGGGGCCCCACTGGCTGCCCCTAAGAGCACTGGAACATTGGGTCACAGTGGAGCGGTGGTCTGCACCCCACTGTGGAGACCCACTGAGCAGTAGGGATTCCTGGTCCACACTGTGTCAGTAGGCGGAGAAGAGGACGCTGGTTCCTTGGGTAGACGGCTAACTAAAGCTGGAAGGAGTGACTCCATAGAAAACCACCATCGGACAGTCCTCATGGCAGTAATTCAGCCAGGAAATGTCAGAATGCTGAAACTAAAGGGTGGAAGTTGGATGAGGAGCGGAACATGTATGTAGTCCCCAAATGCTCACTGATGACTAAGGCAGAAAGGAACTTACGATGGAGACCCGGCCTGTCATCAGAGGTGACGTGGGGTGGTGGGGATCTGGGGCACACCCCCTAGGCGGAATGGAGAGGGGAGTGCCTGTGGCAGGCCCATTTCTGCATTCTCCATGGGCCTGGCCTCTCAGCCAAGCAGTGTCCATCCAGAGTTCAAACACTGGGGAGCTCATAGTTACTTCTGGGGGGTTAGGTATGCAGGGCAAGGCTCCTTCCCAACCTTGACAATAGCTTCCACCAGCACCCTCCCAGTGATCAGGTGTGAGCATCTCCCATCAGCTTAGAACAAGCTCTTTGTGGTTCATTTGGTTTTCTGTCAACATTCACACAGAATCTGCCCAGTTGAAGGCTGCTCAGCCCTCCACAGATTGACTTCACCTTAGGTGCTAAGTCCAGATTCCTAAGCATTTGAGAAAGTGACTGTTTTTTCCTAAAGCCTTGTTTGGAAACAAAACAGTTGAAGGATAAATGTACTGAGTGTGGAGAGGCCACATCTGGGCACCTCTGGTGCCCTGTGGGTCTTATAGTATAGGAGATCCCCTCCTCTGTGATCACTTATCCCTTCCTGCAGGTCTGGGTATTGGGGCCTGCACTCTGACCTTGGGTCCAGTCTGCTCAGTGACTGCTCCCAGGCTGCTCTGCTGAGTGAGGAAAGGCTGGGGAGCCCAGACACAGCACACATTCTTCTGCAGACTTGTGGCTGCACCACACAGGCCTTCTCTCTGGAGCAGCGCTGACCACAGGTCTCAGGAAAGTGTTCCCTAACCTGGCCATGCTGTGGGCTCAGCCTTGGACTGAATGCCCTGGTGTGCGCCCCTTGAGCCCCGGTGTTCTCACTCACCCAGTCTGCCTGCAGGGTGTGCTGAGCTCTCAGCTTGTTAGGAAGGGTTGGCTCTTGGTCTCGGCCAGGCCCTCCTAGGTTCTCGGGTATTAGTTGTCTTACCATGGAACTCTGTTTCATTGAGACTTGGAGCAGTTGGGAGACATGGTAGGGCCTTGAAGTGGTTGTTTCTGGCCCCTTGAAGAACTCTGTATTAGATTATGGAGAATCTAGCATTCATTTGAAAGCCACACTTACTGCGCCCCAGAGTGGCAAGTTGAAGGACTTATAGAGGTAAGTTGCCCTAAGGCCTTGGGTGTAAGTTCCTCAGATAAAGGTAGCAACTGCTTCAAATTCCAGTCAGCCTTGTTCTAAGATTCCCATATGCTGCCTTGTAAGAGTGATTTAGAGGCTCAAGAGGTAGGTGGGCAGGACTGTTTTCTTTTGAATAGGAACCAGACTTTCATCAGTTTGTGCCTTGTGATATAGGAGGAGCTGCGTCAGCCTGGCTGTGGGTGAGTGGTCTCCAAGCTGTTCCTGCTTGCCTGGCCCTGGGCAGCACAGAAAAAACCCCAGGACTCCTTGTTCCTGCAGGTTTCTCTGGCCAGTGTTGCTCCCACCGGTCTGCAGCATGGGGAATATCTTTGCAAACCTCTTCAAGGGCCTTTTTGGCAAAAAAGAAATGCGCATTCTCATGGTGGGCCTAGATGCTGCGGGAAAGACCACCATCCTGTACAAACTGAAGCTGGGTGAAATTGTGACCACCATTCCTACTATTGGTGAGGACGCTGGGCCTTGGGAGGCTGGGAGGTGGTGGTGCCTCTGGGGATAGGCTCACCCAGGTCTCCTCCAGGCTTCAACGTGGAGACCGTGGAGTACAAGAACATCAGCTTCACTGTGTGGGACGTGGGCGGCCAGGACAAGATCCGGCCTCTGTGGCGCCACTACTTTCAAAACACACAAGGTAAGAGTGAGCTACCCCATTACACCCCTCAGGAGTTGGGGTTGGGGTGTCTTGAGCGCCTGTGCTCATGCTTACTGTCCCCTCTGCAGGTCTCATCTTTGTGGTTGACAGCAATGACAGAGAGCGTGTGAATGAGGCCCGTGAGGAGCTCATGAGGATGTTAGCAGAAGACGAGCTCAGGGACGCCGTTCTGCTCGTGTTTGCTAACAAACAGGTACGTGTGACTGAGCTACCCTGTGTGCTGGTGGGGGGTGCCTGTCAGGCAGCCAGCCTCCCAGGGCTGGAGGTCTGAACGGGGCGGGGCAGGGGGGGCAGGTCACAGGTCAGATGGAAAGGCTTCCATGCAGCCCCTTGACCCACGCCTGCTGTGCTGCCACCCACCCCCCACAGGACCTCCCCAATGCCATGAACGCGGCCGAGATCACGGACAAGCTGGGCCTACACTCTCTGCGCCACAGGAACTGGTACATTCAGGCCACCTGTGCCACCAGTGGGGACGGGCTTTACGAGGGACTGGACTGGCTGTCCAATCAGCTCCGGAACCAGAAATGAGCTGTAATCCTCTCTCCTCCCCTCTCACTCCCTCCTTCTACCCTCGCTTTACTCTCATGTGGCAAACGTGCCCCTGTGGTGTGAGTGCCAGAAGCTGTCTCCATGGTCGGTCACAGTGTGCTTCACCATGCTGTAAATGTGCAGACGCAGCCTGCAACTGGGTTTTTATTTAATGTAAATAGTTTTTGTTTCCAATGAGGCAGTTTCTGGTACTCCTATGCAATATTACTCAGCTTTTTTTATTGTAAAAAGAAAATCAACCCACTGTTTAGTACTGAGAAGGGATTTTAGGCACACGGGTCATCCAGGAGTTGTGTGTCAGACGAGCCCAATACTCCTCCTCTGGGCTTTAGATCTGTGTTGAGATCCATTTTGGTGGTTGGTTTTTAACCCAAACTCAGTGCATTTTTTAAAATAGTTACAAATACAAAATAAGGAGAACACTTGAACACACAGAAGGGAGAAATGTGCCTAATGTAGGTTCTGCGGTAACGGCCTGAGTCCAGTCCACCGGTGGTCTGTTTCCCGTTGGGAACATGAAACGGGGCAGAACCCCAGCCATGATATCCATTCTGCATGGTCACAATAGGGTCCCTGTGATTTGCTCTGTCTCGGGTCATCCCACACCCCATAGCGTTTGTGCTTGTATTTGTCCATACATGGCCGCCTAGGAGATGGGGTGGAGGCTGCAGCCGCCGTTCTCAGACCCCTTGGAAGAACCCCGGCCTTTTCTCGGGTCAGCATGGGCACTTTGGTTGGAACACCCTGGCTGGAGCGGGAGTCCTGCAGTCCCCTTGCTTGCCTGCTCCGGGCTCTCTGGGGTCTCACCAGCAGGAGTGCGGGTGGTCATCCTTGAGCCCCAGCCCCTCAGAGCCCCTGTCTACATGTGCTTTCACTCCCTCAGCCTGCAAGGGTCAGATTTGCCATTGAAAATGATAACCTCTACTTTTTTCTTTTGTATTTTGATAAACACTGAAGAAGCTGGAGCTGTTAAACTTTATCTTGGGGAAAACCTCAGAACTGGTTTATTTGGTGTCGTGGAACCTCTTACTGCTTTCAATACACAATTAGTAATCAACTGTTTTGTATACTTGTTTTCAGTTTTCATTTCGACAAACAAGCACTGTAATTACAGCTATTAGAATAAAATCTCTTAACTATTTCATGGCTCTCCTGTGTTTGGGTGCCCCTGACAGCCTGCCCTCTGGGAGCTGGGCAAGGACAGCCACTTTCTCCTCACTTAGTGAGGGCTGCATTGCTCTGCCTTGCCCCATTCTCTTGCTCTGCCCATCCCTTCCCTGCCCACACCCTCACCTTCACTTTGCCGTGGTCGGGTGTAGGTCCCAGCGCCCTTGTGGTAACCACGTCATTGGTCTCATTGCTGGCAGTCCAGCCCCCTGGTCCCAGGCTTTGCAGTGCCCAGTCATGAGAGGAACAGCAGGGTATGCCCCAGGGGCCAGGGCCAAGGGTGGTATGGAAGAAAGCCCCCCTTCCTAACATCCACTCTCTCTGGTACCCCCAGGCCATACAGCTTGTCCTCTGGAGGGGCAGGACAATCTCCAGTGTTGCTGCCACAGTAATCGACACATGCGTGGCTGGGTGATTTGTGTGTCTGTGCCATAGACCCCCTCCCACTTTTGCAGGGGTCGCCCCTCTGACCTGGAGCCCTTCTTGGCACCCTTGTTTTCCCCACTGGGGCGGCCTTTGGCAGGCCAAAGTCCAGGTGGCCTTCCGCCAGGAGACAGGCCCTACCCTAGACAGTGATTTCTAACAGGTTGATAACCAGTGCCACTTGCCTTTAAGAATTGCTTTCAGTTCTCATTTCTTTTAAAATCAGCAGCAAAACAAGAACCTCGGTAATGAATCCAGTCTAGGTTTTGTCTTTATCCCAGTGTGGTTTGTAGGATTTTTTTTTTTTTTTCCTGTGGATGGCAAGGTTCTGTATGTGCCTTCAGCCTTGGAGACGGGCGCCGGGTGGAGGGAGCCAGTGCCTTTACAGCTGGCGGCGGGGCGGTACGTGTGGGATGGTGGTTAGATCTCTGGTGGCCTAGGAAGTCCACGTCCCCATGACCTACCAGCCCAGACTGCCCCCTTCTCGCACGTCACCTGCTTGCAGCTGAGCACCTTTCGGTCCCTCTGTGCTCCCTGCTGACCACACATAATCCAGAGCTCTTGGTACACCCGAAGTAGATGCAGGGACCAGGCCAGCAGGGGACCCCAGGATGCTGACCACCTGGGGAGGTCAGTGCCCCTCAAGCGTGGCTGCAGACGGCCTTGCTGGAACTCCCAAGATTACTGCATTTTCACACACCACTTTCTGTTGTGACACAACAGCAAGTTTCCTTTTAGTATAAGACACTTTCCACTTAAAATAAGTTTATTTAAGTACAAAGAGTCAACACAAAGAAAAATAGCAATAGCCACACTGGGCCACAACTAAGCCTCTTCAGTACTCTGGCCTGGAGAACTCCATGGACAGAGGAGCCCGGCGGGCCATAGTCCGTGGGGTCACAGAGTCGGGCATGACTGAGGGACTGCAAGCCTCTCTGGGAGCCTGGGGTAACCCCCACAGGCCAGTCCTCCAGACCCCTGGGCCTCAGTCGCTGTCATGCCTGCGCTTCTTGCAGCAAGTTGAGGAGTCAGAGTCACGCCTAGGGAGACCGCGCGACGCCTGGGGTGAGGGGCTTGGCCTGCCAAGCACATCCTCATCTCCACCCCCAGGCAGCTGCACCTACTGGACAGGGGCAGGGGGCAGTGAGGAGTCCAGCCTTCTCCCATGCTCCTTTTCTTTCTTCCTCTTCTCTTTCTTGTGCCTCTTCTTTTTCTTCTCTTTCCTGCTCTTCCTGTGGCTTTCAGGACTACAAGGGGGAATGCGTGAGTGCTAGAAGCCCCTAGGACTTTGGGGGTCTAGACCACAGTAGCTGCTGACCATGTGTAGCCATTTCAACCTCAAGTCACTAAGAATAACTCAGTACCACGTGCGGCCAGCGGCACAGACACATTACAGGTATGGCAAAAGGTCTGCAGGGCAACACCTACCTGACAATCTCATAGCTGCTTCCAGCCCTCCCACTGGGATGCCCCTGCACTCTTGGGGCCAAGTGCTGACACTCCAGTGCCCCTGACCCTGCTGCGGGTTGGTGGGCCGTCATGAGCCTTCCCTGGGGCTCACTGCACCCCAAGGCTCCTCAGAAGAAAAAGGGGGCTGGAGCTGGGAGCGTGAACGGAGAAGCAGCCAACATGCTGAGAGAAAGGAATTCTGTGCCCTGGGGGCCCTTACCCCGGCTCCACCTTCTCCTCTGACCGAGGCTTCTTCTTGGCCAAAGCCAAGGAGGTCCCTGGCCGACTGCTCTCCACGCGGTGGTGCTGCCGAGAAATGCCACTCTGGGGGCGTGCAGGGTGCCCCGGCATACCGACAGGGGAGAACCAGCCAGAAGCTGGGAGGGCCTCCCCAAGGGCCTGCCTCGTGGCCCTCAACTGGAAGAGGCGCTCAGACCGATTTCCACCCCACCATGAGATCCAGCATATTTGGGAGTAATTACCGTGAATACCGAAAGCCCCAGCTTAGCGGCCTCTTTGTCTTCCCGGGACAGCGCCACTCGCCCTACAGAGCCACTGCGGGGACGTGGGTAAAATACTCTTTATGGTGAAACACCCCCACGACGAGGACCGCCCCCCATCCCCAGGCCTCCCTAGATAAGTGGTTGGCCTAGATGACCCGCACTGGTTTCCACCTAGGCAGCTGACGGTGCCAAGCCCCAAGAAGCCGCACCCTCGCGATTTCTGGGGCTCCCGAGGACCCCCCCGCCCCCGGCCCCGTACCTGGAGCTCCCCAGACCCAGAAGCCGGTCCACTCCCTTCTCGGGGTCACCACCTTCCCGCTTACAAACTTCGACAAAGTCCTGTGGAGGGGAGTGCAGTGCTCGCTGGAGAGCGGGATCAGCCCCCTCACCAACCCAGCCCCACCCTCCAAAAGAGCCCATCTCACCTCCTTGCTCAGGCCGGTGGGCTGCTTCTTTACGTTCTTGTAGCCTCTGCGGGGGCCGCGCGTGAGCTTCAGGGAGCGGCGAGCCTCGCCTCGCCTCTTCCCCCAGCCATGCCGCGGTCCCACCCACCCCCGCCGCGAACCCACCCAGAAGTAACACCCCCACCCCACCGCCGCCGCCTCCCCACTCAAGGTCTCGAGGCACACTCACAGCGCTGCCATGAGCGCCTCCTGTTCCGCCTGCCTCACAGCCGCCAATTCCTGCTCCCGGCTCAGTCCAGCGCTGTTCGCCCGGCCCTTGGCGTACCAAGTGAGGTCACGGCCCTTCTGCCAGCGGCCCACTGGGGCCATCAGCGAGTTGCCTGCGGGAACAGAGCGCCAAGCCCTCTGCACGGCCCGCGGATCGGCGAACCCACAGCCCGCGAGCTCCGGGTCCCTGCGCCCCACTCACCCAGGTAGTTCTCCCTCTGCTTGTCTGTCTTCACATCCTCCCAGCTGAACTGGTCCTGCCCGCCGCGCACGCCGCCCCGGCTGGAGCCGAACATTGTGGTAACGTGCTGGACCTCTCCCCGGGATTCCCGGTACCAAGGCCCTAAAGGTCCCAGCTCCCACTCCCACGTCGCACACGGTGACGTCACGTCCGCGCCAACCCCACGCGCTTGCGCAGTCCCCCTCCCCCGCCCCAGGCATCCTAGCCAGAGCGCCTGCGCACTGACGCGACCCGGCCTCCGCACTTGCGAAAGGTGCGGCTGTACCTGAGCATCGCGCTGCCAAGACCGACAATTTTATAAATCATATTATGTGGGTGACGCCGCAGAGCTACAGTTCCCATTGCCTGCCGTGTTCCCGGGGCTGTGCTGGAGGAGGGGTAGGCACCAGAGAGAGAACGACTGAAAGTTTCCAACTAGAGCTGATGGAGGTTTCTATCAGGTAGCGGGCTGCCTGGGAGACAGGAGAGCGGCCCAGGTCAGGTGGTGCCTGCGACGCTCAGCCTCCGCCCTCGGGGGGACCAGCTGTGTCTACTTTCCGAGGAAGTATGCAAGCACACCTCGTTGCGTTCAATCCCCAGACAGCGCGGAGAATGCTCCAGTCACCCCCAAGGTGCTGGCAGTCACTGCTGATGGGTCAGGATCCGAACTAAAGTGAGCTAGTTGTTGGGCAAGTGCGTTCTGTTTATCATCACAGCAGACCAGATTAGACTCAATGATAACAATTCTAGTGGGTGGAGGGACGCCACTCCACTAGCCAACCCCTGAATTGAAACGGTAGGGGTTTCTGAGGGATTTACAACAAAGTGTCAAGAGTGTTATTTGAATGTCCTTTTTGTATTGATCTTTTCACAAGAGACAGCGTCCTCAACTCATGATTTAAAGACACGTGCCCCTCCCTGCTTCACAACGTTCCCTAGGACACAGCAGCTTCCAGGCACCATCACTTTTTGGTCCAGAACTGCTTGTACCGCTCCACATCAAAGTCGTCACCGAGCTCTGGCTCCTCCTCCTTCTCTTTGAGCTGGCCCTCTCGTTTTCGCAATCGTGCACGCCTCTCCTCTGGGGATAAGGAGTCCAGGTCCACAGGCATCTGTGGGGAGAACGGGGTGTGTACATGGCTCAGGTGGAGGGTACCAGGATGTATTCCAGGGTCTTCACTTCACCTTGTTATCATCTACCACGTAGTTTAGGTTTTATGTGTTCTATGGGTTTTCTCTCCCTTCAAAACTTTCATTTTTTTTTTCAACTTTCTCTGCCTGTTTTCCCAAGACTTGCCATTTTTTTCAACCATACAGCTCACTGCTTTCTTACCTTGGTCTGTGGAGTGCACTCCAGGTCACTTTCTGCCCTCTCCTCAACCAAAAATTCTGACCTGATTCACTCCCCTCCTAGTCCAGCCATGGTGGGTTCTAAGCCCATGAGCTCCTGGAGGAGTAGTTTCTACAGGCTAGGTCCCCCAGGACCTGATCCTAGGGAGTGTCGGGGAAGGAAGCTTACTCTGAGCATCCGACGAGGTTCCGGATAGCGGATGTGGATGGTGGAACCATCCTGCTTGACCAGGAGAACAGGGTAGAGGCGTGCGTAGGTCTGCCGGTGCACTCGAGTGAGCGAGGCTCTGTTGCAATCAGCCCGCCAAGAGGACATATACAGGTGGCGGCAGCTCTCAGGGGCAGCCTTTGTCATCCCATGATGCCAGAGCAGGCTGCAGGCACACACATGCTGGTCAGTGGCTGGTGCCAGGACCAGAGCAGCCACACAGCCCAGCTCCTAAGGGGGCACACAGCAACATGCACCAGGGCAGGATGTGGTCGGTCAGAGCAGCTCCATTCCACATCCAGAACCCTGGTGGGTCTCTAGTGAGGCCTGACCCCATGGCTAGGGTGCTAGACTATAGCACTGAAGGGGAAGCTGACGTCCAGGGGACTGCAAACCTGGTGTGAACTGGCCATTTGAGTCCACCCCGTCCCCATTCACACGTTGAAGCCCTAACCCCAGTGAGATGGTGTCAGGAGGTGGGACCTCTGGATGGTGATTAGGGCTAGATGATGGTGGGGTCCCCACAGTATGATTGGTGCCCTTATAAGAAGAGACCAGAGAGCTAACTCTCTGCACCAGACGAGGACACCACCAAAGGCAGCCATCTCTGAACCAGGAACCTGGTTCATCAGAATCCTGCTGGCACCCTAATCTCAGACTTCCAGTTTTCCTAAGCTGCCTGGTCTGTGGTGTTCTGCTGGATCAGCCCAAGCCGACTGAGACACCTGGTCCACTTGGCTTCTGAGTGTGATGGGCACACAGCAGAGCGCATGCTCTAAGGTGACAGAATAGGGCCTGTTCACGCCCCACTCAACCCAGCTACGTGAGGCCACATTTCTCTCATCCACTCAGGACCCGGATTTCCCTGTCCTAACCTTGCCCTGTGACACCGCCCCCCAACACACAGAGTCTCTTCCAGCCTGCTTTCGTACAAACTTGAATTCCAAACCGCAGACTGTACCTCAGTCCATCTGTTTCCTGATATTCACATCAATTCAGTAGCTCCCACCAGACTTTCAGGACTTCTCTCTCCACAAAGCAGCCACAGGCCATGCACAGCCAGAGAATGGCAGCCTCTGCTTTGGTTGTGGTTCCTGCCACCTCTCTGCAATTTCCAGCTGACACCTCAGACTGATAGCCCATTTCTTCCACTAGTCTGATGGCCTGGGGTGAGAGAACTGCATCTTACTTGCTTTGAAGCCCCAGACTCTCCCTAGCTGAGTGCTCAGTAAATTTTGGCAAAATCCTCCAGAAATGCAAGACTGGAGAAAGAAGTGGGTGAACTCCAGCACCAGAGGAACCCACAGTAAGTTGGGCAGGGCCTGTACCTAAGCAATACCACGGAGCTCAGGGCCACTCCAGACAATCTGGGGTTGGTGATTCAGGAGGCTCCTGGAAGGGGCTGGAACCAACCCTTGAGGGGAAAGAGTGAATTCTTTCCCACCAGGACAGTAGCTGCAGTTTCAACATGAACTTTTCCAGCACAAGGGCCCTCCTGGAAATTTTGCAACCAAGTCCCTTCCCCATCTTCATACTAACCCACAGCTCAAGTGCTACATCCTTCTTCCTAGGTTCCACAGAAACAATTTAAAACCTGCATTCATTCTCTCCTCCATCAGCACTCACTAGGGGAGATCAGGGGAAGAGAGGAAAATGCAGATGGGGAGGCAGTTCTGGTGGGAAGCGCAGGAAGGCCATGGTCTTCTCCAGGGGTGGCCTGCAGGCTCTGAAGAGGACAGTGGCCACCACCACATCTGTTTGGTGCCAGGTACTCACAAGTCACTTCCATTCCTCCTTCAACATGGTTAAGGTGTCCATACATATGTAGTGGTGGTGATTTAGTCGCTAAGTCATGTCCAACTCTTGCCACCCCAGGAACTATAGCGGTCAGACTCCTCTGTCCATGGGATTTCCCAGGCAAGGATACTGGAGTGGGTTGCCATTTCCTTCTCCAAGGAATCTTCCTGACCCAGCAATCAAACTTGGGTCTCCTGCACTGCAGGCAGATTCTTTACTGACTGAGCCACCAGGGAAACCCCCACAAATATGTACTTGTATGTACTTCTCCAGATAAAACACGCTGGCTCTGGAGACTTTACTAAGGCTGCAAAGCCTAAGGCTGTTGAGTCAGGATTTTTCCGGTGGCCCCATTATAGGAGTCCCAAAGGGCCTGGAAGTCCATGCTTACCGAAGCAGGCTGCCTTGGGCCGCCATTCCTCCTGAGAGCCCCTGCTGCACGTGAAGGCCTAGGGTCATTCACTAGTCCAGTGTGCGACTGCTAGGCAAGGAAATAAAAGATCTTTTTAAAAGACAGGATTTTCCACCTAATCGGTTCTCAACAAATCCCAGGCAGGAACAAAGTCATCTCAGACAGATTTTAGCAGGTCAGTGCAAGTGTTGCCCAAACAATCTATGAGGCTTTCAGCCCTCACCTGGCATTAGAATTATCTGTGGAACGTCTCTGATCTGCAGATGCTGCAATTTTACTCCCCAAAACTTTGACTCAATAAACTGTCTGGAGCAGGGCCTGGGCCCATTCTGGTGGGTTACTGAGTCAGACAAGTCACTCTGAGGATGGAATGCAACGTGAACGGTGACAACTAGCTCATACCTGTTTTCCAATGTCATTTTATTCTCACAAAATCCAGCGAGGTGAGGATTACCAAAGAGCAGCCGCAGCTTACTAAGCCCTGACTCCCAGGGAAACTGAGGTTTCCGCGGTGATAAACCAGTTCCTTCAAATGTCGTATACCTGATGTCTCAAGCATTAAGACCCCAAGAAAAGAGCCCTCCCTGTCGAGATAAACAGGTTTGCCTTGCTATATTCCTTGCAGGCCTCCTTCCGCCTTAGGAGATGACTCAACAGGAAACCGCAAAGCTATAAACCTCCCAAGTGATACCCTCAAGGGCAGCTAGCAGCAGGGCCCGGACCCTCCCTTGAAGGAAGCCCTCCAAGCCCGCGCGACGCGGCGCCTTTCCGGCACCAACTTGCCACCCTCACCGGCTCCGGAGCGGCCTCGAGGACCAGCGGCTCGGCCGACAGGCCAACGGGTGCGGGGCTGGCCAGAGGTGAGTACACAGTCAAGGTAAACTCAGTTTTCACTCCTCGTGTGGCTTCGCCCCGACGTCATCCGCGGGCGCAGGGTCTCGCGGCGGTGACCTACAGCCTTCCAAGGCGCTGCGAGGCCGTCGCCGTTCTGACTTACTTGCCCGCTGGCTCAGGAGGGTCTGGCGCGGCGGTGACGTACGCCTCCGAGGGGCGGAGAGAGGCCGGTGCGGCGCGGCGCGGCGCGACTATATGACGTATGTCCGCCCGGGCGGCGGCGGCGACTGCGGCCCTTCATGCTGCGGCGCCCGCTGGCCGGGCTGGCAGCGGCCGCCCTTGGCCGGGCCCCCTCGGACGGTGAGTGGCGGCCCCTCACAGCGGGACGGAGTTCTGGGCGCGCGCAGACCCCAGGAGGATCCAGGCCCGTGTGTCACGGTCTGAATCCGCGGCAGAGAGGCGGAGACCGCCGCTACTCGCGTGCGAGGCGCCACCGGAGCCCGTGCTGAGCGCGGGTGTCGTGGGCCGCCTTCAGGGACTCGTGGGGTTGTGCTCGTGAATTCTGTCATTTCGCCAGCCACCGAAGCTGCCCTCGGCGTCCCTCAGTGGTTCCCAGAGCTCTGTTTCAGCATAAGTAGAGCGGGGGGAGACAAGAACAGGGTAGTCTTTGCATGGAGTTAAACTCAGGGAGGCTTCCCTTCACTTTGAAGTTTAATCCAGTGTGTCTCTGTGTTAGAATTGCCTTTGGTAGTTATTATTTTCACTTGGGCAGTTTAAAACCTGGTTCCCCTGTATCAGTCCTCAAAATATAAGAGGAAATCATTCTGATACTGGAAGCTCCAAACAGTTCGTAGAGCCCCGCAGTCTGAGGACTTCATGCTGGACCCCTTGTGGGCCCTGCAGGATGCGGAGGGGCGAAGAGGGAGAGCCGCTTGACACCCTTGTCCAACGTGGGCCACAGAGCAGGGCGAAAAACCCTGGGAGGTCAGGGTTTCGAAGGCCCTTAGGTTGCCCCAGGTATGGCAGAATCATCAAAGTCCCGATTAGTTCACGTGGCCTCTAGAAATATGTAGTCTACGCTGCACTTCAGGAAAACCCCTCCCGGTAGTCCAGCTCTGGCGCTATGTTTGGTTCCCACCGCAGATTGCAAACCCAGGGCGGGGTCCTAGTGGGCACAGCTGACTGCTCCAAGGACTCCCAGACAGGAGGGCCCCTGGGACTGCCACAGTTTCTTGGCCAGCCCCACAACCTAGCACTGTTGGACATTGCAGATTTGGGCACTTCTACACGGGAGCAGGTTGTTGGTGGCAGGCCTTCCTGACATGACATGGGGATGGTAGTTGGGGTTCAGCTTCCCTGGGGACAAGACATGGCAAGTCTCCGTTGCTGGAGCCGCTCATCTGCTTTTTTTAGACATTCTTTTGGAAGCAGTGAAGGGGAATAAGCCTCCTTTACCCAGGTGCTCGTTTGAGGAGGAACAGTGAGGTATGCCATAGGGGTGGGTGGAGAAGGCAATGGCAACCAACTCCAGGACTCTTGCCTGGAAAATCCCAAAGACAGAGGAGCCTGGTAGGCTGCAGTCCATGGGGTCGCTAACAGTCGGACACGACTGAGCGACTTCACTTTCACTTTTCACTTTCATGCATTGGAGAAGGAAATGGCAACCCACTCCAATGCTCTTGCCTGGAGAATCCCAGGGACAGGGGAGCCTGGTGGGCTGCCGTCTATGGGGTCGCACGGAGTTGGACACGACTGAAGCGACTTAGCAGCAGCAGCAGCCTGGGGTGGGGGAGGTGGAAGCTGAGGTGACGGTTGGGGCCCAGTGTGAGATGGGGCCAAGCAGGACGGGAGCAGGAAGCCAAGATGTGCTTTTCATGGCTGTCCCTTACGCATGAGTCCCATGCCCCTTGGTGGCGTGCCTGCCCAAATGTGGGCTTTTCTGTCACTCGCCTCCCAGACCATGACTTGTGAAGTGTGTGAGTCGCTCAGTCATGTGCAACTCTTTGTGACCCCACAAACTGTAGTTCAACAGGCTCCTCTGTCCGTAGAATTCTTTGGGCAAGAATACTGGAGTGAGTTGCCATTTCCTCCTTCAGGGGATCTTCCCCACCCAGGGATCGAACTTGGGTCTCCTGCATTGCAGGCAGATTGGTAATTGTCTGAGCTACCAGGGAAGCCCGTATGCCTTGTGAGGGACTCAGGAAAACCGTTGCCACCGAGAGGAATATGGGGTGGGTGTGGCCTCCGGTCTGATCATTAACAAGTTGAATTTCCCACCACGTGAGCTCTCACTCTGTTCTCTTCTTGTAAGGATTCACACACTTGCCTGCACACACCAGGCCAGCTTGTAATCTGAGTTGGTGCCACACCCATGACAGGTGTAGTTTGCCTGGGCTTTCCTTTAGAGTCTGAGAACACGTTGACCCAACCTTTGTCTGCAACTGGGAAGATCAGAAGTTTCTTTGAGTAGTAAGTAGATTCTGGGAGTTCTGAAATTGTACATTTTTCTTCAGCCATACCCAGATTTTTTTTTTAAAGACCTGAACTGTTAATTTCTATCTTTTGCATCACATTTAGCATAACTCAAGAAACATGTTCAGAGAATTTGAGGAAGAACAGGAAGAAAGGTATTACAGTGTGGTTGGGGTGGAAGGAGGTGACCCCAGTCCTCAAGGGGAAAAGGGAAGGCGCAGAGGGTGAGCTGCTGGGGCCCTGGTGCGGCAGCGGGGCCCTGCAGGCCGGCTCTGACCCCCGGCCGGAGCTGTGCGCCAGCCTGTTTCCCTCCTGGGCCCTCCTCTGACCCCAGGTGTGCCCAGCCCAGTGCTCTAGGCCCCTCTCTGATCCTGTGTGTGCTGGGCCTGGATTCTCCCTGCTCCCTGGCTGGTCCGTCCTTCCCCTTCTGTGAGAGTGAACCTGCTCCACCCAGAAGGGGTCGGGCTGCTTCTGGCTCCATGGTTTGTATGTCCTGGACCCCTTTCCTCTCATGCTCCCTCTGCCTTCCCTTAGGGCTAGAACTGAGGCTCTCACAGGAGACCGACTCTCAGTTCTTCTCGCTGATGGAGAGAGACCCAGATGCCGCTGTGTTGCCTGTGTAGTGCCGTGACGGGCCCACGTCCTCCGCACTGTGCGCCTCTTGCCACAGTGTGGCTGCTTCCTCCCTGAGAGGGCCAGGCTTCCTCCATGCAAGGCGTGGTCCCACCCTACTGTGAGAGGAAGTAAGAAGGAAACCTCTTCCCTGAGAGGGCGAGGCTTCCTCCATGCAAGGCGTGGTCCCACCCTACTGTGAGAGGAAGTAAGAAGGAAACCTCTTCCCTGAGAGGGCCAGGCTTCCTCCATGCAAGTAAGAAGGAAACCAAGAGAAGTAAGAAGGAAACCACTGGCTCTCCCACTGCAAGTCAGGTTCTTGAAGGTTAACTGGTTTCTGAAGGTCACTGGGCCAGGACATATCCCACACATGGAGTGCCTGAGGCGAAGGCCAGAGTAGTTCTGTCCCACACAGCCTGTTTGGGGGGTGGGACGTGATCAGCCATCCTGACCCAGATCAATGCAGGTCTAGTGTTTTACGAGAGTGCTAAGGGGGTCTGACTGTCCCTTCTCTGTGTCCCTAGAGGGTTGTACTTTGTCTTAGGTTCTCCGGAGAGAGGTGGTGGCCATGCCCAGCCCTTGGGACAGGACGGGAAATCAGGTGGAAGCAGAAGGGAGGGCAGGGAATGCTTCTCAAGGCAGACCTCCCAGGGTTGCCTGAGGAGCTCCTTGTGAAGGGTTCTGACAGAGAGCATTCCAGAACACACAGGCTTGTACCAGCAATTCTTACAGAAATTGCATCCCTCATCCTTATTGGTGTCCTTGTGAAAGTTTCCAGTATCTTGCCAGGAAGCTGGAGTTTGCAGTTGTGAAACAGTCGAGGAGTAGAGGCTACAGAACGTCCCTAACTGCCAGTCGGTTCTGCCAGGAGAGGGGGCCAGAATCAGTCTCGGGGTCTGGTGCCCTTGGTCCCTGGGCCTGAGAGGCCCGAGCTTGGCCCCATGCTGAGCTCGCTCCTGTCGAGGGGCTTTCGTGAGCGCTCCTGCCACCAGGGTCACTGGGCGGGGCCCAGCGCCCAGCGGCCCCGGGTCCTTCTGCGGGCTCGGCCACTCCAGTGTGGTCTGTGTGGTTTGAACCTCTGTGGTGAAAGGAGGCAGCCTCAGGGAGGGACCTCACAAGAGGAGAGACTGCATGGATGCACACACGCGCTTGGCCGGCTAGATCCCACTCCCCTTGAGGCGTGGTGCTCGGTGGGCTCCCTCTCCCCTGGCCACCAGTAGTGTTCCTTTGAAGAAGAGCAGCAGGGGAGACAGCTCTGAAGAGGCCTGGGGCCTGGGCTTTGGGGCAGGGGGGACCTCGGGAGGATACCCTCTGATGGGCAGGCGGCAGGGTGCAGTGATGACCCACGCAGGCAGTGAGTGCTGCAGCCGCCAGCCAGTCCCCCGTGTGTGCATACGTGCCTGCTGCTCACTGCCCGTGGTGGTTGGGCTGGGGGATGGGAGGTCTCAGCGGGATGGAGAGGCTGTGTCCTTGCCCCTAGAGTTCCCACATGGGGTATAAAGCCAGATGGAAACCAGTGTTTCAAGGTGAGACGATGAGTAAGACTTGTGCATGACATGACCCATGAGGGTTTTAGGCGCTGGGACTTCTGTGTGCAGTAATTGGTCCTGACTGAAGACATGTCTTCCCTGTGTCGCTTTCCAGTGTTCAGATATTAGAGCTTATGACCACGACGTGTAGCCGTGGCCGCGTGCATGGGAAGCAGAGCTGCCAGGGGAGTGTGTGAGGGGACCTGTGTGCCAGGCTGCAAGCACAGAGCAGTAAGGCACAGCCTCTGGGTGTTGCTGGCAGGCTTGTAGTTGCAGGCTGTGGGATGTGAGGGCTCCAGATTGGGCGTGTGGAAAGGAGCAGTGTTCCTGAGGGGAATCTTCAGAGGCAGGTGAGATGGTGAGATGGGTCCTCCCCACCCTGGAGGTGGATGCCCCAAGTTGGGTCCAGAAGGTGCCATCTGCATCCTCTGAGTGGAGAGTTTGTTGCTGCAAGCAAGGCCCAGGGAGGCTTTCTGGTCCGTCTCTTGTGAGAACTGGCGTGTGTCCACTTTGGTGGTACCCCTGCCCTGGAGAAACTCACGTTCCTGTGGTGCCAGCGTGCTGCTGCGGCCTGGGAAGACCGAGGATGCTGAACGGCCACAGCTGCCCCTGCTTGCGAGGTTGGCAGGGACATGTGTGCAGTGGTGACTCGGTGCAATCCAGAGGCCAGGCAGTGGGTGACAGACCCCGGCCTCTGTACTCCCTTTCCAGGGCCCCTCTAGAGGCAGCAGCCTTGCTAGGAGACCTAGTGACCCCCAGTATCTCCTCTGCCCTCCGATATCGCTCCCCCATAACTCGCCCAGCACCCTGGTCACTCAGCATCTAGAAAGTCAGGACAGACCCAGGGGGGTGGGCTGAGCTGCCCACAGGATGTTCGTTCTGCAAAGGAAGGGATTTGTGAAGGGCAGTGTGAGGCAGAAGTGAGAGCTTCCCTTGCACCAGTCCGTAGGGTAGCAAGGGGACTGTGCTCTCCTGGGCAGGCAACAGCAGTGGGCTTGAAGTCAGACACAAATGTGTAGGCATTTGTATGGTGGCACTATATCTGGGTGGGAAAATCAGGACCCCAGAAAGGAGTTGTGAGTCAATGGGACTTGCTGTTTTAAAACAGTGCACTCTTGGGCTTCCCTGGTGGCTCAGATGGTAAAGAGTCCGCCTGCAATGCGGGAGACCTGGCTTCAACCCCTGGGTCAGGAAGATCCCCTGGAGAAGGAGATGGCAACCCACTCCAGTATTCTTGCCTGGAAAACCCCGTGGATGGAGGAGCCTGGTGGGCTGCAGTCCATGGGGTCGCAGAGTCGAGCATGACCGAGCAGCTTCATTTTCACTATTCTGATGGGAAACGTGGACAAGACGAAGGAGCTGAGAGCTGGTCACTTAGAAATGGCAGAGCACTGATGAGCTCCTCTGGATCTGTTTCTTCTATCTCTTCAGCAGGTGGTCATGTCTGATTCCCAAGTCCTTCTTTAGGACGTTTGCGTGCAGCCTGATGGTCCCAGAATAGCTGTGCTTTAGCCAGATTACTCAAGTTGGCCTACATTGCAGATTAGGAAAGCAGTGCCCACCAGGGGCCCTGCTGGAGAGCTGCCCACGCAGCCTGTTCCTCCCGGCCACCACTGCTTCTTGCGGACCTCCACACAGAGCACTGCAGGGGCAGGCCAGCCCATCACACGCCCTTCTGGGCTCTGCCTCCCTCTGGGGCAGTGCGTAGCCTCCCAGCCCCTTAGTTTAGTGCCAGCCTTGATTCCTGTCTTCTGATCTCCCAGTGTACCTAGCCTTCCTCGGCCCGTCTCGTCACGTGGCTGGGGAGGCAGGTGCACTTCTCAAGTGAGGAGCAGCATTCCCCTCTCCTGAGCAGGTGGTGCTGGCTTCTCTGGGAGGGATTTAGTGCTCAGACAGTGGGGGGCAGGCAAGGATTACCACTCTCTCAGCTCATCCAGTGCAGCCCGAAGCTGAGCACAGAGGCTGCTCAGAAGGTAGGTCCTATATGAGGGGTGCGGGGTGGTCCAGTGGGCATAGAGCAGGCTAAGCTGATGCCTCCAGACCTTTTCCACTCTTCCTGCCCTCGGTATTCTCACCTGTGAGGGTGATGCCCTGCTCTCCTGCTGGCTTCCTGAGACCCAGGTATCACAGAGGGGAGTCAGGGACCCTGCGATTAGCCCCTCGCTTTTCAATGGAAGTTCCCAGAGCAGACCTTGGGTTCCACTGACCTTGACCAAGGACACCTCTGAGGTGTGGTGCCAGGAGACACAGAATTGGGACCTGGATGTGCCCCTCCCAGGAGCCAAAGTCCAGGCTCCTTGAGAGGTAGGCTAGTAGTGGGCAGCTGGGGAGGCCACATATGTGTGGTTGGTGCATATGTTACCACCCAGAGGGAAGCACAGGCAGGGTTTAAGCATGGCTCTGAGTGACTGTACCCCGGCTCTGCCTCCTTGCTGCAGGGAGCAAGGCCCTCCTGAGACTTGCGTCTCCCCCCAACAGGGATGTCAGGACCAAGGCCCGTCGTCCTGAGCGGGCCCTCGGGGGCTGGGAAGAGCACCCTGCTGAAGAGACTCCTGCAGGAGCATGGCAGCATCTTTGGCTTCAGCGTGTCCCGTGAGGCCCGGGGAGGTGGGGGAGGGTCCTAAAGAAGCTGGGGGCAGAGACCCTTGCTAACGTGCCCTGAAGCACCACCCACACAGTGGAGCAGAAGCCCCCGCACTGCCGACCCTAGCCTGCAGCCTCCCTTCCCACACCTCCGGATGGGCGGAGCCAGGCCGTGGGGCAGGCCCTGGGGATGGGATGTGTGATGTTCCAGGTGTCCCAAGGCCGTCACTGGTACTTATTCCTAGACACAACAAGGGACCCGAGGCCAGGAGAGGAGAACGGCAAAGGTGAGCTTGGCCAACTGCCCGTGTGCTCCGGCACAAGACTCGAGCAGCCCAACACTCGTCAGAGTGATGCCTGAGGGCTGTCTCCCCGTCCGCGCCTTCTCCTTGCAGATTACTACTTTGTGACCAGGGAGGTGATGCAGCGCGACATTGCTGCCGGAGACTTCATCGAGCACGCTGAGTTCTCAGGGAACTTGTATGGGACCAGGTGGGCTGTGCTCTGGGCCTTCCCTTCCTCTCATTCCCCCAGAGACCAAGAGTGGGTGACCCAGGCAGGGGGTGTCTGTAGGCCCTGGGGGGTCTCCCCTTGGGGTGAGGTTGGGGTGTTCTCTCTGCCGGCTCTCTGGGCACTTGAGGCCAAGGACTCAGCCCTCTAGAGGTCATGATGGAGCGTGAGTCAGAAATCGCCAGGCTGCCTGCTCTCGGCCCAGCCCCACTTGTGTCCCCCTGTCCAGGCTGCTGTGGGAACAGTGGGCCAGACAAGGAGCTGGTATACAGTGAGGACTCAGGGGACCTGGGTCTTAGGGGTCTGCAGGTTTCGTGTGGCCCCTTGCCTCCAGTCAGTAGGGCGGCTTGAGAAGGGTCCCTGGCAAAACAGCAGCTGCCCACCTTCCACCCACCCTAACAACCAACCAGAGCAGGGCCTCTACTGGCTCCTGCCATCTGACTCACAAGGCCCAGGAGCAGTGTCCTGACTCAGGCAGGCAGGCCCAGGCCTGCCTCTGTGCACAGTTGGTCCCCGAGCTGCCTGGCTGGGCGAGGTGGGCACTGCATGGGACCCATCGTCCTCTGCCCCGGGTGCAGATGGGCAGAGCGGTGGGCCCCTGAGCGGGGTCATTTGACCCCTGTTGAGACACACAGGACGCACTGAGGGGCAGTCCCCCCACGGGTGAGGAGCACATAGTCCTTGGTGACCCCCGGGTGGGGGGCCAAGGCCTGCAGAGGGCAGCCAGGAGACAAGAAAGCCCAGGGGTGTGTCCTGCAGTGCAGTGGGGGCCAGAGCGTCCCTCCCCATGCAGGGCCCTCACATGCAGGACATGGCAGGGGGTTTGCCACTGGCAGCCTGGGGACACAAGCCAGAAGGTAATGCAGACACTTCTGGAGGCATGATGGCATGGTGTGGGGCCTAGGGTAGGTGCCAAGAGAGGGAGAGGCTCCGGGCCAGGGTCTGAAGGTGCTGCTCCTACCAAAGTGCCTTTGACACACACTCCCTACCACCACCCCCAGACCAGCAGAGGGCCCCCTTATGCAAGCGTTACTCGGTGAGCAGATGCCTGTTAGAGTAGGCCCTTGGCACCCCCAGACACACCCAGAGTGGGGGATGGGGAATGAGGTCCCGCGGAGGCTCCTAGGACCCGAGGCGCCCAAGGCTGAGCGACTCCCCTCCCCTCATTCTGCAGCAAGGCCGCTGTGCGGGCTGTGCAGGCCATGAACCGCATCTGCGTGCTGGACGTGGACCTGCAGGGCGTCCGCAACATCAAGAAGACCGACCTGCGGCCCATCTACATCTTCGTGCAGCCGCCCTCACTGGATGTCCTGGTGGGGGCCGAGGGGGAGGGCGTGGGGGGGCAGCCCTGGGTGCTCGGACCTTCTGACCTCGTGCTCTGTCTCAGGAGCAGCGGCTGCGGCAGCGGAACACGGAGACAGAGGAGAGCCTGGCCAAGCGTCTGGCGGCGGCCCGGGCCGACATGGAGAGCAGTGAGTGAGGGCGCCTGTCACTCTGTCTCCCCTAGACCCTCCCCACACCCCGCAGGAGACCAGTGCCCCCCACCAAGGGGTAGAGGAGGGCCGGAGCCGTCACCCAGCCCCGTGGTCCCTGTGAAGGGTCCCCAGACCCCCCTCCGTTCCCGGAGATTCCGCTGACCCTGCCCCCACCCTCAGGCAAGGAGCCCGGCCTGTTTGACCTGATCATCGTCAACGACAGTCTGGACAAGGCCTACTGGGCCCTGAAGGAGGCGCTCTCCGAGGTGGGCTGGGGGTGGAGCTGGGGCCTCAGACATCTGCGTGCCAAACGGGTAAAGCAGGCTGGGACAGGTGATATGGCGGCCCCAGGCCCTGGGCAAGATCTTCCTTTCCTCAGCCTGTCTTTCTCTCTGGCAGGAAATAAAGAAGGCACAAGCAGCTGGCCAGCCCTGATGCCAGCTGTGTCCTCTCAGGTGGGGCCCAGCCCTGATGCCAGCTGTGTCCTCCCAGGTGGGGCCCAGTCCTGATGCCAGCTGTGTCCTCCCAGGCGGGGCCCAGGGCCTGGCGCCCACGCCAGTGGGCCAGAGTCTCCTGGCCGTGGCTCTGCTCACCTCAGCTAGCACCCAGAGACTGGGGCGCTGCCCATCCCCCTCACCCCCACCGTGGCTGGGGGGCCTTGTCTCCTGCCCCCGCTCCCCACATCCATTTCCAGGCTTCCTCCCCACCGCGCCCTGTCAACCCCTTGCCCGTGCAAGCCAGGCCGACATCCAAATAAAGAGCTGCTGGGCTAGTGTCCTTGAGCCCGTGGGTCATGGCCCTGGGTGGGTGGGTCCACAGTGCGCCGTTCCAGAGCCACGCCATCCCCAGTCTGGACAGCCCCGCTCTGACCCGCCACCCCCAGAGGGCAGCAGCCGCCTCCTCACACCTGTTGCTGTGGGCTGCGGGCCCTAGAGAGGCTGCTCCCGAGCTGCCGCACACTGCTTGCCTAGGACTCCCACCAGGCAGGTGCAGGACCTCCTTTCCCACTGTGTCTCTGAGTTGCCGTCGAGACTGGGGTCAGAAAGTCCTGGGGCTCACCCTTCTCAAACCACTCCTTACCTGACCTGGACTGAGAGTGGCAGAGGGACAGACACTGCCTACCTGGAGAGGGACGGAGCCTGCAGAGGAGACGGCCCCCTGGGGATCTGGCAGGCCCCAGAGAAGCCCGCCCGGGGAGGACGCCTGGGGGCCTCTGTTGGGTTCCAGGCCCTAGAGTCTCAGAAGATGCCTTGAGAAGCTGCCTGTCTCTAGTCAGGGCAGCTGATTTGGATCAGTACTAGACACAGGAGATGCTTGCCTAGGCCCTGGTCCATGTCCAGGCCATGTTCCTGCCCCGGAACCCAGACATGGTAGATGCAGGCTGGGAGGAGGCAGACAGCCCGTGCAGGAACAGAAAGGCTGGGCTTCATCCCTAAGCCCGGATAGACAGGGCAGGCAGAGGGGTGCTGCACAGCCTCCAGGCCTGAGGGCCAGCCAGACAGGGCTGGGCTGCCTCCTGACCTGCTGTGTGGCCTGGGAGAGGCTGCTTCCCTCTCTGGGACCCGTCCAGCCCCAGGGACAATCAGGGATTCAGACCCTGGGCCCTGGGGGGAACAATGGAGCCCTTGAAGGCCCTCCCCCCACATTGTGCTTGGCGGTGAGAGGTGGCCCTGGGTCGGGCCCTGGACTTAGCTGGGTGCATGCTCAGGAGGGCCGTGTCCAGCTGGCCAGCAGGTGGAAGGGCTCAGAAGGACTTGTTTCCTGGCCTGGAAAAGGTAGGATGTCACCAGGAGACCATGGGTGGGGTGCCATTTAGGGCTGAGTGGCACATTCTTCACTCTGGATCCACGGTCCCAGGGGCCTAGGCACAACTCTTGAAACAGCCAACCCCAAGAGATAATGGTTCTGGGTCTGACTGGCCCTCCGTTCTGGGGGTCTGTCCATCTCAGGCCCCCTGCCCTCAAAAGAGCCAGACTGGGTGATACCTCTGGTGCAGTATGACTTGAGGGTAGGAGGAGGTAAAGGCCGAAGTTTGCCCCCATCCCCTTGGAGGCTGCTAGGCTGGCTGATGAGGAAGGAGGGGAGGGGTGGGCCCCTAGCAGCTGGGACCCCTCAGGCCGTGCGGGGCTGGCCAGCTCGGCAGCTGCGGTGTGTCCAGAGGCCGGGGCCTCGGGCTCTTCAGTCCTGGGTGGAGGCTGGGGAGCCCCACCTCCACATGGGCAGGCAGACTGGTTGGCACGCCTGCCTGCTGTCCACCTTGCTCCTGCACTGGCCTTTATGTAGCCGGGGGCTTCTTCCTCAACCCCCACTTGTGGGTGCCTGCTAAGGCCTGCCTTCTCAGATCTGGTTCCTGGAGGTAAGCAGAGAGCAGAGCAGACCCCTGTTCTCCAGGAGCGGGCCCTGCTGCGCCACGGATGTGAGTCGTCCGGGTCGGGGTGCATGCAGGGCAGCTGGGCGGGAGTGGGCAGTGGGACTGGGCAGGCGTCCTGGCAAGGGGTAGCACGGCTGAGGGACACAGCTGGTCCTGTGGTACGCTCGGCCTTCGGGGGAGCAGGCGTCAGGGCAGGATGGGGGTATGCAGGGCAGGAAAAGTGACGCTGCCACAGACTGAAAGACGGCAGAGTTGCGGGGTGCATTGGCTTTACTGTGGCATTTTGGGGCAGCACCAGCGTGGGTGGTTAGGAGGGGTGGACAGTGGGGCACCCCATGGGGTCTGAGGGGCGCAGCATCCTGCTCTTGGCCAGCAGTGCCTGGAGAGGTCCTTGAGGGACCCTGAGCTCAGGCTGGGGTCCTGCTTCAGCCTCCCGCCCTTGCTCCTCTTGACACCTCCCTTTGCCAAAGCCCAGCGTTCTGCGGCCCGGACTCCCCTGTGGCAGGAGCAGTCCCAGCTGCTCCTCTGCCATGACTCACTCCCCAGGCTTGTCCCCACCACACCCTCCACCCGTGCAGGAAGCCCCTCGCTTCCCAGCTTCCAGGCTAGAATGGCACAGAGGCGGCCCTGGTTCCTCAGCAGATCCCGTGCTGTGGCAGAGCTCCATTCCTTCTGAGCATGCAGTGGGGAAGCCTCACGTCCCAGAGGAAGGCCGCTGGAGGGGGTACAGGGCAGAAGGCGGTGTGCATGCATGTGTGAGAGAGAGTGAGTGAGGATGACGGATGAGTGTGCAGATGCATGTGTAAGTGTGTGTATCCATGTGTGAGAGGGCCTGCAGACCTGGTCAGCTCTGGATTGGGCCGGAGCAGGTCAGGAAGCATCCCTCAGGACCCATGAGGATATGTGTTTTGTTCTGAGAGCCCTGGGCTTCCTGGGACCCCACCTCAGGGTGCCTGCAGGAAGGGAAATGGGGTGGGTGGCGGGGAGGGGCGCCTGGCCACTAACGGGTGTGGAGGCTGTGGTGTACACTGGGGTAGCTGGGGGGAGGTGAATGTGGCAGAGGGGCCCCAGGCCTGGGTTCTGGGCACCTGAGGTGGGGGAGGTCTACACCTCACTGGCCGGGCGGTCCAGGTAAGACATGACCAGGGCATCTAGGACAGGGCCCCAGAGCGGGCAGGAATGTGGAGGACAACCTGCGGAAGCGTCACAAAGCTGACAAGGGGAGATCTGAGCGTCTAAGGCCAGGCTGCGGGGAGAGCAGTCTTGGGGGCTTGGTGCCAGTGAAGGCAGGGAGAAATTCCTCTGGGCACATGGCCTCAGGACCCTAGCAGCGGGAGGCGCTGCAGCCTCACTCGGAACTGTCCCCGGCAGGGTCCTGGGGTGGGCGGGTGGGCAGGCAGCAGGAGGGAGACCCTAGCCTCGGAGGCCCGCAGAGGTGGGTTTCCAGAACAGGCCCGTCCTTTATGAAGACCGCAGTCTCCTGGGGTTGAGTCCGCCTTGGGCCTCTTGAAGGTGCTCATATGTCAAGCAGGGACCACCAGTGTCCGCTGCAGCCAGGAGTCCTCAGGAAGGGGAAGAGGCTACCTGAGGTACTGAGATTCCCAGGGAAGGGTCCCACCAGTCCTCTTGGTGAGCCGAGCACCCCGGCAGCCCCCCCTCAGGCAGAGGAAGCCCGCCCGCAGCACGAGGGGGCACATGGAGGAAGCTAGGCCGGGGTGGGCAGGACGTGGCTGGGCAGGCCCGGTCTCACTGTACTGCAGGAGGCGGCCCTGGGCACCTCTGGGTCTCAGTCTCTGACCAGCCCCTCAGGGCCTTCCTTCATATCCAGGGGTGGAAGGGGCTTGAAGGGGAGAGTGCCCAGCTGCCCACCTCTGCAGAAGCCGCTCTGTTGGTGCCAGAGCCAGGGGTAGAGGGCCCAGCTCACCCCAGCACAGGTCATTCTGATGCCCCTGGAGCCCACAGTGTGCGCCTCCCGCCCTCCTCCCAATAGGGTGCCTCAGGCAGCTCTGGGTGAAGATGATGCCAACCCCCTTCACAGGAAGCACCAGCGTGTGCCCTGCTCACCACCCAGTCACCCCTCGCCCCCCAACTCCACCCTCCACTGCCCCCTCCCAGGCCCGGCCCCCACCCACACTTGCCCCCACCCCCTCGTACACCTGTCCTGCCGGCCCAGCCAGGGCTAAGCCCCCGCTGGCTGCCTCCTCCCATTAGCGCCAGGCATCTGTGGGCCTGGCCCTTGCCTCCCACTTCTCCAGCTCTGTGTTGGGGTCCTTGTACCCCATAGCCCCGGGACTGGTCACCAGTGAAAGTCCCTGCACTGTACGTGAAGCCTCCAGACCCAGAGAAATACGTTCCAGATGGGAAAAGATAGGGAGAAGGAGCTTGTAGTGATGGTGTGGGAAGCCCCTTTAAATAGGTTTCTTATTTTACACCTGTGGTTTACAGAGAAACTGACAAGACCAGGGGTAGTCTCGTTTGGCCCCAAACCCGGTGCCCCCGTGGCACGCTTGTCACGGCACCAGTATTGATGCTTCGCCATTAACCGAAGGCGCCTCACTTTCCACCTGTGTGCTCCTGAGGTCCCCTGAGGGGTGACTGTCCCCAAGTCTCCTTGGCCCCTGTTGTGGGTGACTTCCTCAGACTTCCTTAGTGTCTGATGCCCTTGGGATTTTGAAGGTCAGGTAGTTTCTAAAGCCCCTCCTGGAACTCATCTCAATATCTCTCATGATTGCCTGTGGTGAGGGTTTGGGAAGAAGGCCCCGGGGGCAGCGAGCTCTGTGCTCTCAGCTGGGCTTCTCACTTTGGGTGGGGGTCCCTGTCACAGCCTGATGCCTATCAGGCACCCCTTCTTTCCTCCCTGCTCTGCTCTCTGGAGGAACGCCCTCCTGGAGGCCACAGAGGCTGCACGAATATTTAGAGTTCCCTGCTCCCCCATTTACGTAGTTATTGTATCATTTGTATCACTTGGGACTCATATTTTTTAACTTGAGCTATAATCTGTAAACCAGTCTACAGCAGTACTTTATTTTACTGGCCAAATTGATCTAGTTTCAGACACTGGGCTCTACTTTCCTCAGCGCCCACGCTGTGTCCTTTTGACTCGCCTCCATCAGTGTGTGTGTGTGAGTGTGTGCACGCGTGCGCTTCCCTCAGCGCCCACGCTGTGTCCCTTTGACTCGCCTCCATCAGTGTGTATGTGAGTGTGTGCACGCGTGCGCTTCCCTCAGTGCCCACGTTGTGTCCCTTTGACTCACCTCCATCAGAATATGTGTGTGTGTGTGCACGCATGTGCTTCCCTTAGGTCCCATGTTGTGTCCCTTTGACTCGCCTCCATTAGTGAGTGTGTGTGTGTGTGTGTGTGTGTGTGTGTGTGTGTGTTAGCACTTCCTTCCTCTGACACCAAGAGATGCTTCAGGCTCATTTCCTGCTGCTGCCCTGCAACCAGCTGTTTCTGCACTAGCCCAGTTTCCTTTATTGGAGAGTGGGACCCAGGTGTGTTCATCGCTGTGGGGTGTTTTTCCATATAGGCCTGACAGGCATGGTGTATATGCACGTGTCTATTCTTGTCCATACTGAGCTGAAGGTGAGTTCAGACCCACATAGCCAATGCTGAGCCATGACCGTGTGGAACATTCCAGCCCGCTCCTCTCACTTGTCTGTGACCCCCACACAGTGAGAGCCCGGGGGCCTGCTCCCCATTCGCCTGTGGTTCAGTCCAAGTGCCCAGGAGCACCACGCCCGGCAGGGTCATGGGCTGGCCTCGGAGAGTGGAGGGGCTGGGCGAGGGGCGGGCTGTGGGCGGGGCGTGGGCCTGGCCAGGATGGGTACCTTGGCAGAAGCCTGAGCAGGGGTGGTTTGCACGTGTGGGGGAGCGCAAGGGGGTTGCTGGTGCACTGGGGCCAGGTACGCTTGGCGTTTTACTCCAAAGTCAGGAGGAGTCGCAGGAGCACAGGTCGATGGGCTTCTGAAGGTGCCCAGCGGAGGCGAGGTAGGCCCAAGAGGCTGCAGGGCCTAGCGGGTCTGATCAGCGTCTCTCCTGATGAAGCAGACGGAGTGCAGGGCAGAGAGCTGTCCAATATAAGCCCACCTGAGATGGAAGTCAATCTGGAGGGAAATTTTGGGAACTGGTCTTCTGGGATTTGCTGTGCCTACTGGCATCCATGTGCCTATGTGGAGGTGGCAGCTGGCACTAGAAGTCTGGATTTGGGGAACCCCCAGTGCATGGCTCTTAAGGTGGTGCCCAGAGCTGGTCAGCACCAGCCCCCTGATCACAGGAAGATCCTGCTGTGACCGCATGTGTGACACAGGCATGGGCCCCTGGATCTAAAGAGCCAGAGCCTCTGCCACACACCCAGAGCTTGCCTGAGCTCCCCCACTGGCACTGGGGGAAGGCGGAGGTTTCCTCCCACAAGGCTTGCATCCTCTTTTCTCCACATGGCTCATCTCTGGGGAGACTCTACCTGCACCCGGGTCAGCCCGCCCCGGGCATAGTGCCATCCTCCACACCCCAGGGCAGGGTCCACCCAGTGCCATGTTAGAGCTGGTCTCAAGAACAATCCCCCCTCGCCCCCGACCTGGTGCACATCTCCTGGCATTGTTCATGGGCCTTGTGGGAGCACTTAGACCATGGGAATTGGTGAACACTACACCATGCCTCTTCCACCAAGAGCCAGTTGTTAAATACCACACATGGGGGGTCGGGATTGTCCTGGCACCACCACCTTCCCTCCCGTTTCTCCACTGGCATCCATCTTGGAGGGGAGAAAAGTCGGGACTGCTCTGCCGTCCCTTTTCTGGGTTCCTGCACAGCAGGGCTGTGGGCCCCAGCCTCCTGTGATGTGGGACTGTCGAGATCAGGGGTGGGGTCAGGTCCTGAAAGAGGGCTGAGGTTCAAGCTGAGGGAGAACGTCCAGCTGAGTTCAGCAAGACCTTCATGGGGGTCATTCTTGAGGCAGAAGTATATGAAACATGGCCTGGAGAGCTGGGCATGTGCCAGTCTGTGTACCTGTGAGTGTGTGCCTGTACACAAGTACAGCGCACATGTGACTGTGTATATGCATATGTATGCACTTGTATACCTGTGAGTGTTTGCATGTGTGTGGCTCTGAGAGGGGCGTTGCACACAGATGTAAGGAAATAGGGTCACTTCCCCAGGAATCCCGGCTGCCCCCTCTTCCTGCCCCCACCCCTTGCTCCGGGAGAGGACCCAGCTCAATAAAGAGGGCTGGGAGCCCTGAATGCCCCTGCTGTTCCATTCCACACCTGCCCGTGCTGCTTCCCAGGCCAGTTCCAGAAAGAGGGGGCAAAAAGCATCAGGGGTCTTCAGCCCCCAAACTGCACAGGAGCAGGTACTGGTGTGAAGGAAGGAGGGTGGGTGTTAGGAGGCTTCAGCCCCCTCCCCAGAGGCACGGGGGTACAGGGGTGTGCGCTCCTGCCCACTGAGCCCCTTCTAGGCACAGGCCCCCTCATGGGTAGCTGATCTAACAGGAGCACTGGTCCGGGGCCTGGCCAGTGGCCACAGGGTTGTCTGAGTGTCTCAGGTGCCTAAGTGTAGTTGTGCATGTGCTTCATGGTGTTTGAGGGCCTTGCTGCACATGGCGCCACCTTGAACAGACACCTGGGCTTACCTGCGCCCTCAGCCAGGCTGTGCAGAGGACGCGGGCGTGCTGCAATGAGGAGGAGTCGCAGCCTGGAGGGTGGGCACCAGTCCCTGGCGCAGCTGAACCAGTGGGGGTGGGGGGAGCATGGCCACGATCCTGAGTGAACATCCTGTTCAGGATGCAGTGGGAGCTGGGCGGGGGTGCTGTTGGGAGATCTGGAACTGGGGGCTGGAGGCTGACAGAGCCACTGGGTCTGGACGGGATCCGGGTGTGATGGGGAAGCAGCGGCACGCCGGAGGCTGAAGGAGGGCCACTGGGACTTGGGGCCGGGGAACTGCAGGCTGACGGGGACTGGAGTGACTGCGGAGTGGGGGCTCAGCCCCTGGCGGACCCCTGGCACACTGGAGACAGGACTCCAGCACCTGGGGCGCTGCAGGCGGGAGCAGGCGCCTGAGCTGAGGCCCAGACGCTTCAGCGAGGCTGCTCTGCTCTCTGGTTGCCCCCACTGAGGCAGCTCAGCGGATGGACTCCCTGCTGCTCTCAGGGCCTGGGGTGGGGTCCCCACAGGCTGGGGGCTGCGCACGTCTTGCCCAGGGCCCTGCTTTCCTGCAGGGTGGGGGCGGGCAGGAGGGAATGGCCCTGCTCCAGGCCACAGAGGCCTGGGGCCAGGTCTTGGAGCAGCCAGGGTGCTCAGCAAGGTGGCCCGGCGTCTGCCCTTGTAGGGTCTGCCCTTGTAGGGTCTGTCCTCTGGCTGCACAGGCCCCAGCCTCTCCCTGTAGCCATCCTAGGGCAGGGTCAGGACGTGGGGTGAGAGTGGTACTCCTGGAAGGGCTCTGGGTGCTACTGTCCATCCCCCCCACACCCCATCAGCCCTTGCCCCCATTGTCCTTGCCCAGGGTTGAGCTCCTGCTGCTGACCTGCAGGTCTTATCCCCCGCCCCTATGACCAACATGAGCTGGAGCTTCCTGACGCGGCTGCTGGAAGAGATCCACAACCACTCCACGTTCGTGGGGAAGGTGTGGCTCACGGTGCTGGTGGTCTTCCGCATTGTGCTCACCGCCGTGGGCGGCGAGTCCATCTACTCCGACGAGCAGACCAAGTTCACGTGCAACACGCGGCAGCCCGGCTGCGACAACGTCTGCTACGACGCCTTCGCACCCCTGTCGCACGTGCGCTTCTGGGTCTTCCAGATTGTGGTCATCTCCACGCCCTCCGTCATGTACCTGGGCTACGCCGTGCACCGCCTGGCCCGCGCCTCCCAGGATGAGCGCCGTCGCTCTCGCCGCCGCCCCGGCCGCCGCGCGGCCCGCGCGCCCCTGCCGTTGCCCCCTCCGCCGCACCCGGGCTGGCCGGAGCCCGCCGACCTGGGCGAGGAGGAACCCATGCTGGGCCTGGGCGAAGAGGACGAAGACCCGGGAGTGGCCGAGGGCCTGGGTGAGGAGGACGAGGCCGAGGACACGGGGGCGGCCAAGGGCGCAGGAGGGGACGCCAAGGTGGCTGCGGCCCCGGGTCCCGCGGGCCAGCATGACGGGCGGCGGCGCATCCAGCGCGAGGGCCTGATGCGCGTGTACGTGGCCCAGCTGGTGGCGCGGGCCGCCTTCGAGGTGGCCTTCCTGGTGGGACAGTACCTTCTGTACGGCTTTGAGGTGCGGCCCTTCTTCGCATGTAGCCGCCAGCCCTGTCCCCATGTGGTTGACTGCTTCGTGTCACGGCCCACTGAGAAGACGGTCTTCCTGCTGGTCATGTACGTGGTCAGCTGCCTCTGTCTGCTGCTCAACCTCTGTGAGATGGCGCACCTGGGTCTCGGCAGCGCGCAAGACGCCGTGCGCGGCCGCCGCCCACTGCCCCCCTCCCCCGGCGCCATGCCCCGCCCGCCTCCCTGCGCTCTGCCCGCTGCGCCTTCAGGCCTAGCCTGTCCGCCTGACTATAGCCTGGTGGTTCGCACGGCTGAGCGCGCACGCGCCCAGGACCAGGACCTGGCCAGCCTGGCCCTGCAGGCGCTGCAGGACCGGCGGGCACTTGGGGACCTCGACAGTCCACCCGGCCCGGGCCTCCCAGTGAACGCCCGGGGGCCCCCGAAGGCTGGCGCCCCTGCGTCGGGGTCGGGCAGTGCCACATCAGGGGGCACTGTGGGGGGCCAGGGTCGGCAGGGGATCAAACCCAGGATGGGCTCAGAGAAGGGCAGTGGGAGCAGCAGCAGGGAGGGTAAGACCACCGTGTGGATCTGAGGCCTCCCCTTGGCTACTCTGCATCTTCCCTCTCCCCAGGGCGGAGGCAGGGGCTTCTAGGGAGGGGCTGGACACCACCTAAGGTGCAGAGCACAACCTGCCCTCCTCTTCCTCAGCTGGCTGCTCACCCCCTCCGGAGGGGTACAGGGCACTGACCTTCTCTGCATCATCACCCCTCCCTGCCTGAGCCCTGTGTTCCTCCAGGGTAGGGTGGGCAGCCTGGGAACCAAGAAGGGTCCCCACCTCTGACCCATAAGCCCTGGTGGGGGATAGGACTGTGGCTGGGGCATTGCCCGCCTCCCAGAGCCACCCAGCTGGCCCCCTCAGGACAAGGGGGCCCCCAGGCAGGAGCTCCACCCACTCCAGCCCTGCTTCCCTGCAGAAGCCAGGGCGTGACTGCCCAAGGGTGCCTGGCTTGGGTGTTTGAGGGGTTCTATGCTTATTCCCACTCCCTGCCTAGCAAATGGGGTTCTTTCCCTAGCACCCACACTCTTCTAGTCCATGCTCTGGTTCTTGCAGAGCTAGAGGCAATGCCAGGTCTTCCTGGCATAGAAGGAAAAACAGTGAGCACGGTGGTCAGAGGCTGCAGCCAGTGCTGGTCGGCACTGCTTCATGCCTCACCCCCACCAGGTCCCAAATATGAGCTGCCTTGAATGCAGGTGGAACTGCACCCTGCTTCCTGCTTCCCGCCCAGACCAACCTGGGGCTAAGGCCTTGCATGGGCTGGGGTGGATGGGACTATGCCCTCTCCAGCTCTGTGCTAGCTTGGCGTGGCCCCTTCCTTGGGCACATACTTGAAATTCTGAAAAGACACTGGCCTCCCTTGCCACTCAGACCAACAGGATGGTGGTCAGGGGCTATGACTTTGGCCACGCAGAGGGAAGGGACTCTGAAGCTCCTGCCACAGCCTCTTCCCTCCAACCCCCTCTCCAACTCAGACACAGCCTCCAGAACAAAGGGAGTGAAATAAAACTAACTTTTGTTTACAACCACACGTGCATGTGTGTGTGTGCTTGTATGCATGTGGGGTGTGGTGTGTGCACGTGTCTGAGTACACACTATGACTGTGTGTACATGTCCACCACTGGCCTTGGGACACATGGCTCAACTTGAGGATGAGTGGGAAAGGAAACCACTCTTCAGGGACCATCCAGGGAGCAAGGGCCAGGTTGAGCCCCTGCAGCCCCCTGGAATGCTCGGTACCACTCTGTGCCAGGCAACAGGCTTGACCTAGGGGAGAGGGATGCGGCTGAAGGAGAACAAAGAACAGCCAGGCGTGCATGCTTAGAGCCCAAGGTGGGAGCTCAAAGGACAGAGGGGCAGTCCTGTCTCTGGCCCTGGCATTATCCAGATGCTGGCCAAAGCCTGCAGTGGTAGCTTTTGCGGGGAGCAACGGTGAGCACAGTAGGGAAAACAGCTGCTGCCAGCAAGGAGCCACCTGGGCCTAGACTTCAGTGACCCCTGCTGTCTCCCAGTCTCCCTCCAGCCCCCGGCAGACCCTGAGAGGTTCTCTCAGACTGCAGACCCTCTCTGGGGTCCCAGGGCCAATCACCAAGCCCAGATGAACCCCAGCCTAGTCTGCCTCTGGTCAGATGCAGACTGAGTCTCTTTCCCTTGTGGGGTCTGACTGACTGGTCCGAGGTGCCAAGTGAGCCTTGGCCCCAGGCAAGCCCCACCCCCGTGAAGTCCCAGATGTCCGTGCTGGAAGCAGAGCCTCAGAGGGAAAGTGAACCCAGATCCAGAGCAGGGATTCACCATTTACCTCCCCGAGAGAGGCAAGTCTATGGATCTGGCAGCCCTGGATTTGGGCTTGTTACACAGTGGTCACGAGGAAGACGGCATCTCTGTGGTGGGGAACATGCCGTCCAGCCATGTCTGGCCCCTATCAGGGTGACTGGAGGCAGTGAGCAGCACAGCTGGTGAAGGATATCTGCAAGGCACCATTGTGGGTGAACACCCTTGCCGTGGCCCCTCCACAGCCTCCCTGTGGACAGCATCCTGCAGCCAGTGGAGGCCCTGCAGGACCTCAGGACCTCAGGGAGATGAGTGGGCATTCCAGGTGGGGAATGGTGGGAGACTTCAGGGTTCAGAACCACCCTAGTGTCTGGAGAGGGCTGGTGAGGAAGCCAGGTGTCCACTTCCAGCAGGGCTCAGAGGTTGGTTCAATCCTGAAGGTCAGTGCTCCCACATCTCAAGGCTGTGATGGTGACAGGGTCCCATAAGGGGTGGAAGGTGGGGCATGAGCACTCAGCATCTGCCTGAAAAGAGCCTTATGTCAGCAGAAAGACCCTGGGCAGGTTTGTGTTTGGGAAGAACATTCTTGATTTTATTGTGACAGTGTCCAGGGAAGCCCTCTCCCACCCACAGAGAGGGAGCTTTAGGTCATGCTCAAGGGGTCAGGACCTCATTCTCTGGGCCCTTCATGAATAAAGTAACATCAGGATCTCACCCTCTCTAACTCGAGTTGATTCCCTGATGTAGTTGCAGCCTGGACTTCCTGGTGGGGCCAGGGCTGGCTTAAAGATTTCCTCACTCACTGAGCTGGGGGGTCCATGCTGGGGTCCCTTGATGTGGTTTGGACCTCCTTAGAGCATAGTTGCCCAGCAATGGCCAACTGACTCTTATCACCATCCCTGAAGGCACGTCACTTCATATCACAGGAGTCATAGGCCCGCAGGATCCATCTCAATGGGCCAGTGTCACACTGTAAGGGCACACGGAATAGTTTCTGCAAGCCCCCTAGCCAGGTGTGAAGCTCAGCACAGCCCCCCACCACGTGTGAGCTCAGGGCCTGTGCAGACACTGCCCCCTTCTTTTGCCACAGCTCTGGTATCAGTCCACAATTCCCCCTCTACCGTGTGGCCTGTCCAGTGTCCATCATCTCAGCCCTCCCACTCCTAACTGGTTCCGATGCAGCTTGAGGCTTTCGGGTCACCAGGAGGAGGAGTCTGCCCAGGGGCTGCTGGGAAGTCTGTTTGCTGTGTGCCTGTGACACCGAAGTCAGGTAGGCTCAGCCTGTGAGTCTGTGTGCAGTGTGTTGGTCCAACACCAGTCTAGATGTTGGGGTGAACGTGTGTTTTTAGATGAAATTAACATCAACAATCCGTGGACTTTGATAAAACAGACCCTCCTCCCTGGTGTGGGTGGCCCTTATCCAATCTTTGCTCCCTTAAGGGCAAAGGCAGGTTCCCAAAGAAGTGATTCAGTCTCCAGACCGCCAGTGAGGCTCACGTTTGTGTCAGTTTGACTGGGTCCTGGGGTGCCCAGAACAAGCATGATCCTGGGTGTGTCTATGAGGGTGCTTCTGGATCTGCAGATGGGCCTCAGTGAGGGTGGGCCTCGTCCAGTCAGGTGAAGGCCTGAGAGGAACAAAAAGGCAGAGTAAGAGAGAGCTCCCGCCTGGTGGCTTGGGCTAGTACACTGGTCTCATCTTCAGACTCAGATTCAGACTGGGTCTGCACCACGGGCTCTCCTGAGTCTCTAGCTTGTAGATGGCAGATTTGGGGACTTCTTGGCCTCCACAGTTGAGTGAGCCAATTCCTTATAGTCTCTTCCTCTGTGTATATTGAATTGGTTCTGTTTCTCTAGAGTTCAGTTCAGTTCAGTCGCTCAGTCGTGTCCGACTCTTTGCGACCCCATGAACCACAGCACGCCAGGCCTCCCTGTCCATCACCAACTCCCGGAGTCCACCCAAACCCACGTCCATGGAGTTGGTTTCTCTGGAGAACCTCAAGTAATACACAGCTCATCAGCCAAAGACTATTAAGAGCATACCAGCTGTGAGGAAAGCTGCAGGTGGAGTTGCTACTCTGCAAAGTATCTTGGTCTGTGTAATACCATCGACTGGGTGCTCAAAAAACAGACATTTCCTTCTCACGGTACTGAAAACCAGACGCCCGAGACCGGTGTCGGTACCTGGGCCCTCTCCTTGGCATGTAGGCAGCTGTCTCCTCCCTGGGGCCTCACCCGGTCCTCCCTCCGTGTGTCTGCTCTCATTTCCTCTTCTTACAAGGACACTAGTCTATTGGATTAAGGTGCACCCCAGGGACCTCATTTTACCTTAACCACCTCTTTAAAGGTCCCATCTCCAAACGCAGCACCATTCTGAGGTCCTGGGAATTAGGGCTCCAAGATGTGAGTTTGGGGAGATGCAGTGCAACCCACATTAGAAGGTGGATGTCAAACTAAAAGCTCAATCACCACAGAAGGGATCCTAAGGCATAGGCCTCCTGTCTCAGGAACTTAGGGGCCCGGGTGCACCACTGCGGTCCTGTATGTTTTGTGAGCTTCTGATGGGGGTGCCTTAGGATTTAGTCATGTCCTCCCAATTGAAGTCACTAGCCATCTCAGCGTCATACCCCAATTTCTTGATGTTCTGGACAGTCATAACCATGATATCATGGGCTCACTCCAGTATTTTAACAGGATGTCCATCTCCTACCTAGGACATAGTATTTAAGATTCTCAGAGGTGGAGCCCAACCACTGAACTTGGCACTTAATGCTCACTTAACTACTTAAAAAAGCAGTGCCTCTCGGTGCCTGGATGGCCATGAGGATGGAGAGCTCATCCCTCACCTTCTTTGCTCTGGAGCAGGCTGGTGTGTGGAGCCGAGGTCATCCCAACCCTGCTTCACTGCCTCTTGGGGTCCTCAGGCTGTGTGGGGCCCACCCAGGTCTGCACAGGGGCAGGGACAGGCCAGGAAAGTGGCTGGAGCAGGATCAGGCAGAATGACCTTGTCTCATTCTCATCCGTTTCCACGGCTGGAGCCAACTCACCGGCTGCTCAGGGAGCTCACGGAGCGCTGCAGGGAAGGGGGTAACCAGAACGGGGGCAGCTTCCTTCTTCTGACTTTGGGAAGGGAGGAGGCCATCAGGAGAGAATAACAGGAAACCACCCCTGGCTGGCACCAGCTGGGAAACAGGGTCTGGGACCCCCAGGGCTGCTTATTTTTTAGCACTTAGATCCTCACCCATCCGACAGCTCCAGGACCTGTGGCCTCAGAGGGAGGAGGCTGTGCATGGGATCCAGCAGCAACCTAAGCCCCAGCTGGACCCAGGCCAGTGAGTGGGGTTCTCTGAGGGCACCCTGAGGCCAGTTCCCGTTCCCTCCACCCAGACTTGTAGGCACGAGAAGCCGCAGAGAGAGGACCAGAGGAGGAGTAGCCAGGCAGGGCCTACGTGCAGGTGGCCCTGCTGTCAGACTGGCCAGGCTGCTGCAGAGTCCTGGAAAGGCTTCCTGGAGGGAGCCTGGAGCATGCTGGTTGGGAGACTCTAGAATAGTGGGAGGTGCTGGCTGCTCTGTTCACAGAGGCAGCCACCAGCAGAGTGTGGCTCTGGACATTTCACTGTGGCCCATGCAGTAAGGAGCTAAGTTTCACTCGACTTCACTTGAGTTAAATCGCATTTAAACAGTTCCTGGTGGCAGCAGCGGCCCCACTCAACCAAGTGGGCGGAGCTTGGCACTGGGCTGGGAAGGTCGGGTAAGGCTCCAGGTGGCTCGGGGTCAGTCTGCTGGCCCTTCCTGCGGGTCATGCTGGTGGGAAGCATGTTTTCTGCTGGCCAAGGGATGGGGTGACGTGAGGCTGGAGGAATGCACCCCCCACCCCATGTTGTCCTCGAGTGGTTTCCTCCCTGCCCTCAACAGGGTTGGCAGGGAGGTGATAGGTCACCCTTGGAACACAGGCTCAGCAGAGCACGATCTTTTCCATGAAAGGCCAGTGAAATCACATTCCAGACCTGACTGGTCACAACCAGGAAGCCAGCTGGGAGGGGATCAAGGGCCTGGGAAACCCTAGGGAGCTCCTTTATGTTAATAAGGTAATTTGAAAAGCACCTAAGGATGGGGGCTGGTTGTCAGGAGAACCAACCTTGTGATCAGAGGTTAGAGAACCAACTTTGTGATTAGAGGTTAGAGCTTTCAGCCCCACATCAACGTCTGGGAAGGTGTGAGGGGCTGCAGGTGCATCAACAGCCAATGGCTGATAATTTGATCACTCATCTCTCTGTAATGAAGCCTCCATAAAACCCCAAAAGCACTGGGTTTAGAGAGCTTCTTGGTTGGGGAACAGATGGAGATTTAGGGAGAGTGGGTTGTGCTCAGAGGGCAGAGAAGTTCCATACTCCTTCCCACATACCTTGTCCTTTGCATCTCTTCCATCTGACTGTTCCTGAGTTATGTCCTTTTATAATAAATCAGTAATCTGGTAAGAAAACAGTTTCTTTGAGTTCTGTGAGCCACTGGCAAAAAAATTGAGCTCAAGGAGGGGCCTTTTTGGAACTTCTGATCTATAGCTGGCTGATCAGAAGCACAGGTGCAACTTGGACTTTGACTGGCATCTGAAGGCAAGGGGTGGGAAAATGTGTATGTGTGCACGCACAGTCTAATGGGATCTGATGTTATCTCCAGGTAGATGGATTAAAAATTGAGTTAAAGTATAAAACACACAGATGGTACCAGAAAATTGTGTCATGTGGGGAACTCCCCCCACCCCCCCGCCACATTTAGTGATCAGAAGTGTCAGAAATGGACAGTGCCAGGGTATAAGATGTACAGGAGTGTGAGTTCTACACAACAACTAAAGGAACTGAAAGTAGAGTTGCACACCTGTGTTCATGGTGTGTGCGAGAGTGTGTGTCTTAGTTGTTCAGAGGTGTCCGAGTCTTTGAGACCGCATGGACGTTAGCCTGCCAGGCTCCTCTGTCCATGAAACTCTTCAGGCAAGAATACTGGAGAGGGTTTGCCATCTCCTTCTCTAGGCAATGTTCCCGACCCAGGTCTCCTGCATCGCAGGCAGATTCTTTACTGTCTGAGCAACCTGAGAAGTCCTTGTGTGTTGCAAGCAACATAAATGTCCCATCGATGAGTGAATGGATAATCCAGATGTGTGTGTGTGTGTGTGTGTGTACAAACACATACATACATATACAATGGACTATCACTCAGCCTTTACAAAGGCTGACACATGCTACATCATGGAGGAACCTGGTAAATATGAGCCTGTCACAAAAGACAAATACTGCATGACTCCACTTCCATGAGTTTCCCAGAGGTGTCAGGTTCATCGAGACAGACTGGACTGGCATTCCCAAGGTCTGGGGAGGGAGACAGGGGTATTCATTTGATGGGGCGGAGTTTTGGTCTGGGAAGATGAGAAAATTCTGGATAATGGGGATGACTGCAAAACGGTGTGAACATACTCAATGCCTCAGAAATGTGCACCCCAAAATCGTAAAGATAGTAAAGTTCAGGTTATGCGCGTCTCAACACGATACAGCAAGTGGAAACATCTCTGAGAATTGAGGGGCAGGCCAACTTGCAGGAGCAGAAGTCAGCCTAAGACGGGTGTGCAGCCGACAACCCGAGGCCTCGCCCGGGCGCACGCCCCGCCCACCTTCCCTCTGGCCTCTCCGGCAGGGAATGCTCGCCCGCCACCAGGGGCCGCTGTGGCCCCAGCCCGCGCATGCTCGTGCACACCCCGCCCCGCGCACGCTCCGTCCGTCAGCAGCCAGGGGCCGCTGTGGCGCCCGCGCGCACCGCTTCCCGGCCCCCCCACTCGCCCCGCGCGTCCGGCCGCCCGCCCGAGCTGCTGCGCGGGCCGCCTCACTCCTCCCCAAGATGGCGGCCGCGGCACTGCTCAGGGGTGCGGCTCCAGGGTGCGGCGGCCCGGCCTGGAGCTGGCGGCTGCGCGCGGCCCCGAGGCGCCACCTGGCTCACAGTGGCTGCTGTCAGAGCGCTGACTCCGCTAGCGGCGCAACATGGGCCTGCTTCCTGCTGGGCGAGCGTGCCCTAGTGCGCGTGCGCGGGCCGGACTCGGCGCCCTTTCTCCTAGGTCTGCTGACCAATGAGCTGCCGCTTCCGGGTCCTGCGGTTGGCGAGGCGTCAACTTCGGCCCGAGCGGGCTACGCCCACTTTCTCAACGTGCAGGGACGCACTCTCTATGACGTCATTCTCTACGGGTGAGAGCGTTTTGCAGGACTGGCCCCTGGGGTCGCGGTATCCCGCAGGGAAAGGGCACCCGGGAGCGGGCCTAAGAGGACCTGGGGGGGTGGGCTGCTATGGTGGGCCCCTAGGGCAGAGGCAGACACGGGGAAGGGACGGACAGAAGGCAGAACTAACGACATCCAGAGGCGGGGTACCTAGGGGAAGACTACCACTAGCTCGGAACGGACATCCAGGAAAGGACATGCACGACAGGGCGTCCAGGGGAAGGGACATCTGGGAATCTGTGCACAGGGTGGGCCGAGGTGAGCCCCCAAGAGAGGGCACCTGAGGCCGGAAGGAGCGCCCAGGGTAGGCACTAGGAGACCCGCACAGCGGGCAGAGGGGTGAGTACCTGGGGGAAGGCAGCCGTAGGTGGGCTGGAGCCAGCTCCAAGGGATGGGCCGGCGACAGCGACTGTCGCCTGGGAGCACTTCGGCCTGGCTTCTGCTCACGCTCAAACCCACTGCACGGAAAAGCAGCCACACTGCAGGGAGCAACCTCCGTGCCACTGGCTTGTACCACTGCTTCCTGAGTTCTCTAGTGTCCACGCATTTCTCTCCCAAATCTCTCCGTATTCAGTGGTATTAACGTTTGGTGTCCTGTACAGATTTCCGTTTTCACTTCCTTAGCTTTCTCAGACTTGGTTTCTCTAGAACCTCTTAAAGCAGTTCCAGGCTGTTGCTCTGCCCGAGGCCGCCCGGGAAACTCTCCTGTCCCTCTTCTGTTGTGGGTTTTTGTCTGCATCTTCCTAAGTACTTCTTGCCTGCTGGTAGAGTACATTCTTTAGTGTCTTCTTGAGAGGTAGGATACCTAAGCAGACTCCATAACTTGTGTGTTATGTGTGAATGAGTCAGTCAAGTCAGTCGTGTCGGACTCTCTGTGACCCTATGGACTCGTCTGTCCATAGGATTCTCAAGGCAAGAATACTGGAGTGGATTGCCATTTCCTTCTCCATACCCAATAACTTGGCTGGTCTTAAAAGTCCGCTGAAAATTGTCCCAGAAAACGTTGGAACCACAACCTGTTTTGCAGCTGCTAGCATTGTTGTCAAGAAGGCTAGTGTTGTTTGATTTCTGAGGCTTTGTGTGTGACTGGTTTTTCTCTGGATTCTCGTAGGGGCTCATCTTCATCCTGCTGTCTTGTGTCATGATGTGTTGTATTTTGGGTCTTCTTTCATGTCATGTTGCTAGGCGCTTGGTGAGCTCTGTGACTCTGGAACAGGGATCAGTAAAATATGACCCTTGGGCAGATCCAACTCTTGTTTCTGTAAATAAAGTTTGACTGCATGACTGCTACATGCCCATTTGTTTATATACTCTGTGGCTACTTTTGCTTTCCAATGGTAAAAGTATAATTAATATTGTAATAATGTGGTAGAGATTGTGTGGCCTCACACCTAAATTATTTTCAGTCTGGTCTTGCAGAATACATGTGTGGTCCCTGCTCTGTGTTCCCTCTTTCAGAAATACCATTGTCATTATCTGTTTTATGTAATTATTATCTTCCCAGTAGTTGCTTAACCTCTTTTAAAAACTAGATTCTTTGATTATCTTAAGCCCTCCATGTCTGTAACATTCAGTAGCCCCATAATGGTCATTTCAGTTTTTAGTTTATCAGTGTTGTAATGGTGTTTTGGTCCTTCAATTTTCTTCCTTGAGTCTCCAGTCTGCCTTTATATCTTTCTGCCTTTGCATTCTTCCTATAATGAAGTTATATCCTGATAAGTCACTCTACAGTGTAAAAAACAAATATTTTTCTGTTTCTAGTTCTTTTTTTTTGATCTTTAAATCTCTTCCTCTGGTTTGGCGTGTTTTTGCTTAGCTGCTGGGCCATCAGTCCTTGTCAGCAGGCATGCATGTGGCAGTTCTCTCTAGGCACTGTGCGTGCTGTGATCTGCACTGTGGAGGACTTTGCTTTTCTCTCTGTTCACTCCTGAGAGCGGGGTGTTGCTGTGCCACTTGCTGTCTGTGCTGAGGGAATCGGAGTTCACCGTGATGATGTCCCCTGACCCTGGTTGCTCTTCTGAGATTCCAGCTCAGTCCTTTGTGGGGCGTGCAACTCCAGTGGGTGGGATGGGGTCCTCATTCCATCAGAGACAGACAGCCTGGATTAGTGGCCCCACTGGTGAGCAGTTGGAGGAGGGGAGACATGAGAACTCCCCCTCAGACGGCTGCTCTTGGGCCTGGGGGCTGGGTGAACCATGCCCAGATTCCTCTCTCTCAGTTCCACGCTGGGGCATGGGGTGCTGAGCCTTCTGGCCTCCCGCTGACCCTGATGTTTCTACTGGGATATGTCTCGGGTCTGACGCCTGCTGTTGTTCATGAGATGTGCTCCTTCCCCTCCTGGTTGCTCTTGACCTTTTGCCTACATCTGATCGCACTGAGGTCTGCTCTCTGAGGGAAGGGGACACGCTGGCAACTGCTGTCCCGCCTGGAAGCCTGTGGCCTTCCTGCTTTCTTCATGGTTGCTCTGCCTGGCATTTTCTCTGTATCCTGTCTCCAGTTTTTCTTTTTCTTCCTTTTTGGCTGTGCTGTGCGGATTGTGGGATCTCAGTTCCATGACCAGGGACTGAACCTGGGCCACAGCAGTGCAAGTCCGGAATCCTAACCACTTAGGCCAGGAGGGAACGCCCTGGAATTTTTCATTGAAACTGTCATGCTTCTAGTTTCCCATCCTTGAGCTGATCCTTCCTCAGTGCACCCTGATCTTGTTTCCCGAATGTAGCACCATCCCTCAGACAAAACTTTAGGTTTTGGTTTTTAAAGTAGACTCTTTAAGGGAATATCCTGGTGGCCTAGTGGTTAGGATTCCAGGCTTTCACTGCCACGGCCTGGCTTCAGTCCCTGGTTGGTGAGTTGAGATACTGCAAGCCATGTGGTGCAGCCAAAAATAAAAAAGGAAAGACTTTTTAGAGCAGTTTTAGGTTAGTAGGAAAATTGAGAAGGCAGAGATTTCTCATATATTCTCTGCTCCCACACATGCATAACCTCCGCCATTATCAGCCTTTCCTTCAAAGTAGTACATCAGTTACAATTGATGAGCCTATATTGACATCAAAATTACCCAGAGTCCTTAGTTCACATTAGGCTTCACTCTTGGTGCTGGGCTTTCTATGAAATTGGACGAATGTTTTATAACATGTATGTACCACTGTAATATCATACAGAGTGGCTTCATTGTCCCTAACTGTCCTTTGTGCTTTACCTGTTTACCCTCCCTCGTGACCCCTCACCACCACTGAAAGGATCTTTTCGGATCAGAAACTGTCTCCATAGTCTCCCTTTTTCCAGAGTTTCACATAGTTGGGATCACAGAGTATGCTGCCTTTTCAGACTGACTTCTTTCACTTAGTAATATACATTTAAGTTTCCTCCATGTCTTTTCAGGGCTTAATAGCTCATTTCTTTTAGTGTTGACTAGTACTCTGTTGTTGGCATGTACCAGTTTATGTATCCATTCATCTATCGAAGGACTTGCTGTTGCTTCCAGATTGCTGTGATTATGACTAAAGGTGCTATAAACATCTATGTGCAGGTTTTCTGTGTAGAGGTTAGTTTTCAACTTCTTTAGGTAAATACCAGGGAGTGTGATTGTTAGACTGTAAGGTAAGATTATGTGTAGTTTTATAAGAAACCACCAAAGTGTCTTCCAAAGTGGCGGTATCATTTTGCATTCCCGCCAACAATAAGCAAACCGTTCCCATTTCTCTGTATCCTCACCAGCCTTGGGTGGTGTCAGTGTTCTGGATTTTGATCATCCTGATAGGTGTGCAGTGGGGCTTGTTTTAATTTCCTCTTCCTGATGACAAATGACATGTAACATCATTTCGTATGCTGTTTGCCACCTGTATGTTTTCTTTGGGGAGATGTCCAGATCTTTGGCCTATTTTTAATCAGATTGTCTCCTTATTGTTGAGTTTTCAGTGGTTGTGTATGTTCTGAGTGACAATCCTCTGTCAGATGTGACTTTTCAGACCTTTTCTCCCAGGTGTGGCTTGACTCATCGGCTGAGCTGGGGCTCTGTGTTTTGAGGTCTTTCCTCATCCTGACCACGTGTTTGTTAAGTACTGGCTGTGAGAGATGTCCTGCAGGTTTTGTGGGCTGGGCTGCTTGGCTTTTGGGGGACCCAGTCGTGCCTCTGGGGGCCACTTCGGTAGGCTGGCTGCTGAGGTCTGCTGTTCGCTCGTCTCCCTGCAGGCCTTTCCCCGGTGCTGATCTCAGCGGGACCGTGCTGAGCCTGGGCGCGGCTGGTTTCTGAGCAGTGTTCTCCATGGGTGCCTGGCAGAGGGAGGGTGGGACGTGGGGCTAGCATACCTCTTCATCCAGGTTCCGCCCTCCAGGCTGGCTGGTGAGGCTGCGGGTGCCCCCAGCCTCCTCTTCCAGCTACTGTGGTTGTGCCCCCAGGATGGGCTGCTGGGCTGGGCACGGAAAACTGTCAGAGAGGTACATCTCAGACAGACACGAGTGACTTTTGGGGGGATGACCTATGCAGTGTTTGGGAAATACTTACACTAAAGAGATTATTCAAAGATGAATTTTTTTCTGAAATGCACATTTGATTGGGCATCATGTATTTTATCTGGCAGCCCTACTCAGGGCCACTTGGCTGTGTCTGGGGGTATCTACACTCAGGGTGGCTGTTCCTGGCACTGAGTGGGCTGGGCCAGGGCTGCTCTCAGTGCCCAGCAGCGCCTAAGATGGCCCCACAGAGAATGTTCCAGCCCAAATCTGGGCTGTGCCGGCTGAGCAGAGGCTCACCGCACATCACCACTTCCCCTGCTGACCCGTCCCCCATTAGCCGCAGCAGGGGCAGCGGACGGTCTGATTTGGGGTGGTGGGGCGCAGCGGTGCTTTGCAGCTTTGCTGGCCCTGAGGGGCTGAACGGCACAAGGCCATTTGCACAGGTAGCTCAGAAGAAAGGTGCCTGAGCCCAGAACCTGTCCCTTCTCCACCCTGCTTCTCTTGAACCGTGGAACGCTGGCCCCGTGAGCGAGATGGGGTGTCGGCCTGGGGCCTGACCACCCTGGCGCCGCAGTGGCCCCTTAGCCAGCCCTGCCCAGGCCCTGCCCCTGCTGGGGCATGGTTCTACCTGCTTCTCTCCGTCCTCCCCCTGGGGTTTACTTTGCCCCTGTGGCCTCACGTCTGTCCACCCATGCCCATTTCTTCCTCTTGCCAGTATTTCACATTGCTTCTGTCTGCTTCCTGTATCAGAGACTTAAAAAATAGAAACATACCTACACATGGTTAAAAAACCTAGTAAAGGCTTTTCATGAAGACTGACTGACTGCCCTTTCCCTTCTCACTGTCATGGACCCATGCTAGGAGAGGCAGCTCCTTTTTCAACTTTTATTTTGAAATAATTATAGATTTATAGGAAGCCGCAAAAAAGTGAGCAGGGAGGTCTCATATACCCTCACCCAGTTCCCTCAGTGGCAACATCTTGCCTCCGATAGTCCAGGGTCACATTCGGGGGTGGGGAGGCGAGGGGGGGATGGGCCAGCCCCAGGGCGCACTCAGGTTCTTCCAGGTTTCCACGTGCTCGCTTGCATGCAGCTCTGATTTGATCACACACGTAGACCTGGGTATCTTCCATGAAGACGGAGCTCTTCTGTTACCATCAGGCTCGCTTCTGCCCTCTGGGGCACACTGCCTTTGTCAGCCCCTCAGCCCCATAGCCACTCCCCTGCTCACTATCTTTATGATCCTGTCATTTCAGGACTGTCCTACTAACAGTCTTTTGAGATTAGGTTTCACTCACCTCGATGCCCTTTGGATTCACTGATAGTCTCTTCCTTTTCCTTAGTAGTATTCCATCCAGGGACTGGACCATGGTTTGTTTAACCGTTCGCCCACTGAAGGATATTTTGGTTTCATTTCTTGACTGTTAAGAAGAAAACTGCTTCTAATGTTCATGCCCAGGTTTTATGTAAACACCTGGGGTGTTTGCTAGCATAAGTGCCCAGGAGTGCAATGACTAGATTGTGTGGTCGCTGCATGTTTAGTCTTATAAAGAACTGCAAACTATTTTCTGGAGTGTGTATTCCATCTACAGTCCCACCAGCAAGGTTGAATAATCCATCTTTTCTGCATCCTTGCTGCCTTGAATGTTTTTGTGTTAGCTATTCTGATAGTTGTGCTGTGGTATCTTGTGGTTTTAACTTGTCTTTGCGTCGTGATAAGTGACTCTGAACTTCTTTCCATGTGGTTATCTGGGGCAACACCTTTGAACTCTTCTCTTTTTTCTGGCAGTTTAATTCTATCTGTAAATGATCGTTTCCCCAGCCCTCAGCTGATCTCATTTTGACCTTGAGGACTGTTTGGCGGGTGAGGCGATGACCTGCCTTGCTGTGGCCGCTTGCTCTTTTCCGCTTTCTTCACATGCTTGTTCCTGTATTTACTTGTCCCTTGGCTGGTAGTTATGTGTGTGGGCCTGACAGAGTTTGTGCTGTAGGGTGAAGCCACAGAAATCAGGGCACCAAGCAAGCTGCTTTTTTTAAAAAAGAAATTTTGTTTTAGGAATTCTCTGGTGGCACAGTGGATAAGAAATCTGCCTGCCAATGCAGGGGACATGGGTTTGATTCCCAGGTCCCGGAAGAGTCCACATGCCACGGAGCAGCTAAGCCCATGCACTGCAGCCACTGAATCCCACACACCTGGAGCTTGTGCTCCACAAGAGAAGCCCCAGTGAGAAGCCATCACCACAACCAGAGTGGCCCCCACTCGCCGCGACTAGAGAAAGCCTGTGCACAGCCGCAGAGACCCAGCACAGCCAAAAGCAGAGAAATTTTAGTTCTGTTTGTTTTAAAAATATTTTCTTTGTTTATTTTTATTGTTTTGGCTGTGTTGGGCGTTAGTTGTGGCACGCAGGATCTTTTCTTAGGGTGCCTGGGCTCTTTGTCACAGAGTGTGGGCATCTCTCTAGTTGAGGCCTGCAGGCTCAGTAGTTGTGGCGATCTTAGTTCCCCATCCAGGGGTCGAAGTTGAGCCCCCTGCATTTGAGGGCAGCTTCTTAACCACTGGACCACCAGGCAAGTCCCTCCCCCACCACCACCCCAGGCAAGCTTCTGTAGCTCTTTCCTTGGCTGGCGATTGACTTCTCCAGGGTGGCACTTAACCCTTTCGTGCCTGGGGAGAGGGTCAGAGGCACAGCTGATGGGTCCAAGCTGATGGCCTTTCTTTTTGATACATGTTCCTGAAGGTTTTACCCACTTCTCTGTCTCAGCTGCCATGCAGCTGTGGGTCCTTCCTCAAGCCACATCTGTAATCAGGACTCTAGCCATGTACTCCTCTGGGCCCTAGACATCTCCACTTAGGGCCCCTCCATCACATCTGACCGTGCGCTGGCCTGTCTGTGCTCCTCTGTCCAGAAGGGCCCCACCATCCATTCTTCAGTGACACCAGGATCTGGAGTCATTCCACTGGATGTGGGCTGCCTGGACTGGGAGTTAGGAAGGCTCTGGGACCCTGATCAGGTTGCAGGGCTTCCCTGGGGGAGGTAGGAAGTGGGCATGGGCTAAGTGTGGCCTCACCAGGCACCTCACCTGCGTCGGCTGCCTGCCAGCACCCCTCCTGAAATCTGCTGTGTGCCCTGACGGAGGATCCTTGGCGTCTTGGTGCTTCTCAGGGCTGGAGGCGGCAGATTCTGACTGGTGTGGCCGTCTGTGCCTGTTCACCTCACCCTGGCCACCGACACCACTGTGGTCCCAAGGCCCTGCTTCGCACCTGTCCTCCCCCGGCCGGACTGTTTCCTGTGGCTCCCTCCCTGGGTGGGGAGGGGTGCTGGGCCGTGCAGCAGAGCCAGCTGGTCCCAGGGGGCGGGTGCACTTGGGCGGCACAGGCGCTTCCTCGGTGTGCCTGCCACCCCCGCCTCTCCCCGCAGGCTCCCTGAGCGCCCCGGTGAACAGCCCACCTTCCTCCTGGAGTGCGACAGCTCAGTGCGCGATGCCCTGCAGACGCACCTCTTGCTGCACAAGATCCGGCGGAAGGTCACGGTGGAGCCGTGCCCTGAGCTGCGCGTGTGGGCCGTGCTGCCCCGAGCCCCGGCGGATGCTGGTGGGGCGGTGCCGCTGCGGAAGAAGGCCGAGTGTGCCGCCATCCTCACCCGTGATCCCCGGACTGCCTGCATGGGCTGGCGGCTCCTCTCCCAGGATGAGGGTTCAGCCCTGGTGCCCGGGGGCCGCCTTGGGGACCTCCAGGATTATCACCGGCACCGGTACCAGCAAGGTATGGACATGGGGTTGGACCCGGGGAGAGGTTAGGTTTGGGGGGCTGATGCTGGACAGGGAGGAGGGGCAGGGTGGGGCGGGAGGGGACAGGAGGTGTGACCTGGAGCCCTGGGGAAGCTGCATGGTGAGTCCAGGCACTGGGAGGAGTCGGGATAGAGCAGAGCTCCGGCGTCAGGGGTAGGACCTTCTCTAGTGGGCAGTGTTGAGGGCCAGACCAAGATGCTCACCCAGAGACCAGAGCAGGAGCCCGAGTTGGGACCTGGAGGACGCGGAGGGACCCAGAAGACTGTGCGGGTCAGATGGTGGGACTCCTACAGGCCAGTACCCCTGGCCACCCTGGGTTGAGCCCCCAGCTCCGGAGGACACCTCAGACCTCACCAAGCCTCTCCCCACCTCTGCAGGTGTTCCCGAGGGTGTCCATGACCTGCCCCCAGGAGTAGCGCTGCCCCTGGAGTCCAACCTGGCCTTCATGAACGGCATCAGCTTCACCAAGGGCTGCTACATTGGCCAGGAGCTGACAGCTCGCACCCACCACATGGGTGTTATCCGAAAGCGCCTCTTCCCAGTACAGTTCTCAGGTGCCGTTCCTGGTGGCGGCATTGCCCCCGGCGCCCCTGTGCTCACCGAGGCAGGGCAGGCGGCCGGCAAGTACAGGGCAGGGCTGGGGGACGTGGGTCTGGCCCTGTTGCGGTCTGAGAAGATGAAGGGTCCTCTCCACATCAGAACCTCTGAGAGTGGCCTTGTGGCCCTCACTGCGTCTGTGCCAGGCTGGTGGCCCACAGCCACCAAGTAGCCTCAGATGCCCCTGCGCTCCTGTACGGGGCCTCATCTACTGCGCCCTGCAGCCAGCCGCACTTTCTTGGGTGACCCAGTTGAAAGAACACGCCCTGGGAGGGTCCCCAAGCATCTGTGGGCCTCCCAAAGCTACTGACATGGCAGGAGATGCTCCTGCATGCAGCCCGGTGTTTCCAGCCTGTCATGCTTCCTGGGGACCGTCCTGTGCCCAGGGTGGCTGTTCCTTCCTGGAAGCTTTATGGCTGGAGCATCAGGAACCCTCCTGAGGACCGAGGGTGGGTAGAAGTGAGCCCTGCGCCTGCCTCTGTCCTGAGCAGTGCTACAGCTTCCCCCAGACCCTGGGTGAAATTCCGAACCATATTCATCCATCAACCAAGGACAATGCTCCAGGATGCCTCCAGGCTGCCCACACCCCTCTGAGCCTGCTTGGGCAGGCTTAGGAAGGGAGCTCTCAGTGTCTGGGGTGGCTGAAGGGGCAAGTGGGCTTTGGGAATTGTCTTACCATGTTGACTGGGGGCATGCCTGAAGGTAGGAATCCTGTGGGCCAGGTGGAATGGCCGCGTCTGTGCGTAGAGGCACAGGCATTGCTCCCACCCACCCGAGTCCTCCCAAGCATACCTGTGTGCTCAGGGGCACCAGCTGGGGGAGCCCCAGTGCTGTTTATACCACATCTCTGCAGCTTTGGCCCTACCGTGTCATTGGCAGTCCCTTCCTCCCCTCCATAGCCCTCCTGAGCTCAGGGTAGGGAGTGGCTGCCTTGGGACGGCAGTACCCAGGGTGCAGAGAAGAGCTTTTGCTTGCTGTACTTGCTGCTGTTTTCTGATGCAGTCACGTCTTCATAGTAAGAGGGTGACTGACTTCCCCATTTTAAACCACTGACTTTCATTTTCCCACTGCAATGTGAGTCTCGTGGGTACAGGGTGTCCCACCTGATGCCCCAGAGTGGCTATTAAAGTGCGACCCACAACCAGCCCATGTGGAACTCTGGCTTCTTTCTTTCTTAAGTGTATTTATTTATTGGAAATGTTTATTTGAGTGTTGTTGGTTTACAGCGTTACGTTAACTTCTACTGTACAGCAAGGTGAATCAGTTCTTCATGTACCCAACTCTTTTTTAGATTGTTTTTCCCATATAGGTCATTATGTAGTGTTGAGTAGAGTTCCCTGCTATACAGTAGATCCTTGTTAGTTGTCTCTTTTATATATACTGGCGTGTATGTCAGTCCCAATTTCCCAATTTATCCGCACCCCCTTTTCCTCCCCTGGTAATCACAGGTTTGTTTTCTATATCTGTGACTCTATGTCTGTTTTGTAAATAAGTTCATTTGTGCCATTTATTTTAGATTTCATGTATAATCTATGTCATATGATATTTGTCTTTCTCTGTCTGACTCACTTCGCTCAGTATGACAGTCTCTAGGCCCATCCCTGTTGCTGCAGATGGCATTATTTCATTCTTTTTTATGGCTGAGTAGTACTCCATCATATATATGTACAGCATCTTTATCCATTCTTCTGTTGACGGACATTTAGGTTGCTTCCATGTCCTGGCAATTATAAAGTAGTGTTGCGGTGGACATTGAGGGACATGTATCGTTTCGAGTTACGGTTTTCTCTGGATATATGCCCAGGAGTAGGATTTCAGGATCATGTGGGAGCTCCGTTTTTAAGGAACCCCCACACTCTTCTCCATAATGGTTGTACCAGTTTACATTCCCACCAACAGTGTAGGCAGGTTTCCATCTCTCTATACCCTCTCTCGCCCTACTGTTGATAGATTTTTTTGGTGAGAGCCATTCTGACCAGTGTGAGATGATACCTTCTTGTAGTTTTGATTTCCTTTTCTCTGACAATTAGTGGTGCTGAGCATCTTTTCGTGTGCTTTTTGGCCATCTGTATGTCTTTTTTGATGGGGTTGTTTGTTTTTCTTCATATTGGGCTACATGAGCTGTTTTTACGTTTTGGAGATTAATCCCTTGTCAGCGGCTTCATCTGCAAATGTATTCTTCCCCTCTGGAGGGTTGTCTTTTCTTTTTGTCTGTGGTTTCCTTTGCTGTGCAAAAGCCTCTAAGTTTAATTAGGCCCCATTTGTTTATTTTTATTTTCATTACTCTAGGAGGTAGATCAGAGAAGATCTTGCTGAGATTTACGTCAGAGTTTTACAATGTCTGGACTTATATTTACGTCTTTAATCCATTTTGACTTAATTTTTGTGTTTGGTGTCAGGTAGTGTTCTAATTTCACTCTTTTACACTGCACAGTTTCCCAGCGCCACATATTGAGACTTTTCTCTGTTATGCATTCCTGTCTCCGTTATCCTAGGTTAGATGCCCGTAGATGTTTGAGTTTTTCTCTGGATCTTCTGTCCTGCCCCACGAATCTGTGTTTCTGTTTTTGGGCCTGTGCCATGCTGTGTTTTATTTTTGCCATGCCACATAGCTTTGTGTATCGTCTGAAGTCGGGGAGCGTGATTCCTCCAGCTCCATTTTTCTTTCTCAGGATTGCTTTAGCTCTTTGGGGTCTTGTATTTCCATACAAATTGTAAAATATTTTGTTCTCTTTCCATGAAAAATGCCATTGGTAATTTGACAGGGACTGCATTGAACCTGTGGATTGCTTTGGGTAGAATAGTCATTTTGGCAACATTGATTCCTCCATCCAAGAATGTGGATATCTCTCCATCTGTTTGTGTCATCTTTGATTCCTTTCATCACTGTCTTACAGTGTTTTCTGAGTACAGATCTTTTGCCTCCTTAAGTAGGTTTATTCCTAGGTATGTTCTTTATTTTATTTTATTTTTTTGATGTGATGATAAACAAGATTGTTCCATTTATTTCTCTCTGATCTTTCATTGTTAGTCTATAGGAATGCAAGAGATTTCTGGGTATTATTTTGTATCTCATTGATACATTGATGATACATCATTCATTGATGAGCTTTAGTAGTTTTCTGGTATTGTCTTTAGGATTTTCTGTGTACAGTATCATGTCATCTGGAAACAGTGACAGTTTTACTTTTTCTTTTCCAATTTGGATTTCTTTTATTTCTTTTTCTTCCCTGATTGCCATAGCTAGGACTTCCAAAGCTGTGTTGAATAATAGTGGCCTGAGTGGACATCCTTGTCTTGTTCCTGAAATAACACAGCTAAGTGTGTTATTAGCTGTGGGTGACAGAGACATAGGGGTTTGGCCGGTCCCGTGAGGCAAGGCTCCCCTCAGGCAGGGAAGCAGCCAGGCAGTGCTGACCCTTCCCCGACCCCCCAGACTGGGTGGGCAGCACTGTCCGAGGCTCAGGCTCCTGAAGCAAGCAGAAGTAAGAAGGCAGAATGTGCTGTGGACCAGGATGGGCTGGATCCTTGTGACACATAAATGACGGTTATCATGCACCGTCAGGCTGTGAATTAAACACACAGAGGGCTTCCCACTGCCAGTGAGCACCCAGGGTTGGGAGCCAGGCGTCTTCTCTGGGCAGTGGCATTTGTGGAACATCAGCCTCTTGGCCTGAGCATGAACTGCTGTGCTGACATGTGACCTGTTGTGGGAGTCATAAATTAAATGAGAAACAAGATGGGCCATGGTGTTTTAAGTGCGGGCAGCTTCCGAGTCAAATGCTGCCTTGGAGATCATGTGACCTGTAAATGTCTTCAGGCTTCTGTGGGCAACTGAAACCTTAAATTATTTGGTTCAGATCCAAAGAAGTACATATTCCGTATTCTTCCTCAGTATTTTTAAAAGGAGGCTGCCATACAACAGAAGTGCTTCCTTTGAAAAAAAGCAAGTCAGTTTCCACGGAAGCCCTGGAGCATACAGAAAGCTGTGACTTTTAGAACTCTAACACCAGCATCTTGATGCACATGACCAGAGGGGATCAGCTGGTGTTTAATCTTCACATTTGTTTCAGTTTCATAAACAGTGATCACTGTGAGAGCTGGTGTAGATACTCGGGAAGGTCTTTGCTGGTTTTCCTGTCTGCTTTAAGTTTATTCTGTAAAGAGTATTGAAAGGCTGTTACTGAACCATAAGACACTGGGATTCTTGGCCTCCAGAGGAGACGAATTCAATCCGGGGCCTGAGACAAGGCTGGATCGCTCAGAGCTTTTGTGTAATAAAGTTTTATTAAAATATAAAGGAGATAGAGAAAGCTTCTGACATAGGCATCAGAAGGGGGCAGAAAGAGTGCTCCCTGCTAGTCTTCAACTGGATGTTATATAGTCACTGCTGCTAAGTCGCTTCAGTCATGTCCGACTCTGTGCGACCCCATAGACAGCAGCCCACCAGGCTCCCCCATCCCTGGGATTCTCCAGGCAAGAACACTGGAGTGGGTTGCCATTTCTTTCTCCAATGCGTGAAAGTGAAAAGTGAAAGTGAAGTCGCTTAGTCTGTCCGACTGTTAGCGACCCCATGGGCTACAGCCTACCAGGCTTCTCTGTCCATGGGGTTTTCCAGGCAAGAGTACTGGAGTGGGGTGCCATTGCCTTCTCCTATATATAGTCACTAGCAGTCTGTTAATGAAAAGAAAGGAATGTCTTAAAACTCAGAAGGGCACCAGGCCCCTCATCCATAAGATGCATTTTGGGATAATCTTGGCACCAGATGATTCATCCTGGGCCATAAAACAATTGACCTGAATCTTGTAGAAGGGCAGATTACCATACAAATAGTTTTGTTTACATAGCTTAGGGGAACAATATCTGAGTATAACATTCTGGTTTGTCAAGTAGGTTCTGACAAACCGACTTGAAGACAGTCTGGGGTAAATGCATAGCACATTAACATAGCTTAAGACAAACATTTCCATAAGAAAAATGCATTGGTTAACTCAAGGTTTGAGAATTTAGCTTCAGGTGAAACCAGGTGTCATTATGGCAACACAGTATTTTAAGAGAAACCTTTTAAATTTGTATAGAGAAGAAAAAAAATATTGCTAGTTTGTTTCCTCCTGCCACTTAAGAGAGATAAAATGTCTGACACTTGCAGCCTATTTCCTCCATTTGGAGACC